TAGTTAGCATTGGCTCGCAAAATTACAGCTAACTTCCTTCATACTGGAGGCAGAGACATAAAAATGGTATCTGTGAGTTCATCTGACTCTGGTGAAGTAGATAAAGGGCTTCATTGCCAAAATCCCAAAATATCCCTTTATAGGCACTGTCTGGCAAGTCCTGATACAAACAAGATCTTTAAGTAACTTGTCACGATGTGATACCATGGACATATAACTACGTTGTATGGTTTATGAATTGCAAGGATATATGAGATCAGTCAGTTCGACACCTTCTATAAACTAGTCAAGCTTTCTGTTCGTCAATTAAAGCACAGTAAATAGCCTATGCTCCACCACAATTGGCTGCATATGAAACACGCCAGGGTCCAACATTTAAAAAAATCTCACTGGCCAAAAATCTACTGGGCCGAACAGAATTTATACTGGCCCGTACATGGAGTAGTTCTTAAATGCATTAGGGTCATGCAGGGCCTATCGATTGGCATGCTTTCTCTCTATATCCAGCTATTGATTGTCTACATTTGGTTATTATTGTATTAAAAAGCTAATATAATTTAGCAATGCATGTCATTATTCATTAGAATTGCATTGTATTAATTGCATTCGTTTTTGTTTCTATAGTATGTTATTTTGAGAAGATGTGAAAATAGGATGCTGTCCCTTAAAGAAAAACGTTCCAAAAGAGAGATCGACATGGCTACAGTAGGCTAGCCAAGATGAATGCTAGGTGTCTTTTTGTAGCTTTCTTTTTGCAACAGTAGCCAGCAATTTGCTAATACAGTGAGGGGAAAAAAGTATTTGATCCCCTGCTGATTTTGTACGTTTGCCCACTCACAAAGAAATTATCAGTCTATAATTTTAATGGTAGGTTTATTTGAACAGTGAGAGACAGAATAACAACAAAATCCAGAAAAATGCATGTAAAAAATGTTATAAATTGATTTGCATTTTAATGAGGGAAATAAGTATTTGACCCCCTCTCAATCAGAAATATTTCTGGCTCCCAGGTGTCTTTTATACAGGTAACGAGCTGAGGGAGTGCTCCTAATCTCAGCTTGTTACCTGTATAAAAGACACCTGTCCACAGAAGCAATCAATCAATCAGATTCCAAACTCTCCACCATGGCCAAGACCAAAGAGCTCTCCAAGGATGTCAGGGACAAGATTGTAGACCTACACAAGGCTGGAATGGACTACAAGACCATTGCCAAGCAGCTTGGTGAGAAGGTGACAACAGTTGGTGCGATTATTCGCAAATGGAAGAAACACAAAATAACTGTCAATATCCTTTGGCCTGGGGCTCCATGCAAGATCTCACCTCGGAGTTGCAATGATCATGAGAACGGTGAGGAATCAGCCCAGAACTACACGGGAGGATCTTGTCAATGATCTCAAGGCAGCTGGGACCATAGTCACCAAGAAAACAATTGGCAATACACTACGCCGTGAAGGACTGAAATCCTGCAGCGCCCGCAAGGTCCCCGTGCTCAAGAAAGCACATATACAGGCCCGTCTGGAGTTTGCCAATGAACATCTGAATGATTCAGAGGAGAACTGGGTGAAAGTGTTATGGTCAGATGAGACCAAAATCGAGCTCTTTGCCATCAACTCAACTCGCCGTGTTTGGAGGAGGAGGAATGCTGCCTATGACCCCAAGAACACCATCCCCACCGTCAAACATGGAGGTGGAAACATTATGCTTTGGGGGTGTTTTTCTGCTAAGGGGACAGGACAACTTCACCCCATCAAAGGGACGATGGACGGGGCCATGTACCGTCAAATCTTGGGTGAGAACCTCCTTCCCTCAGCCAGGGCATTGAAAATGGGTCGTGGATGGGTATTCCAGCATGACAATGACCCAAAACCCACGGCCAAAGCAACAAAGGAGTGGCTCAAGAAGAAGCACATTAAGGTCCTGGAGTGGTTTAGCCAGTCTCCAGACCTTAATCCCATAGAAAATCTATGGAGGGAGCTGAATGTTCAAGTTGCCAAACGTCAGTCTCAAAACCTTAATGACTTGGAGAAGATCTGCAAAGAGGAGTGGGACAAAATCCCTCCTGAGATGTGTGCAAACCTGGTGGCCAACTACAAGAAACGTCTGACCTCTGTGATTGCCAACAAGGTTTTTGCCAACAAGTACTAAGTCATGTTTTGCAGAGGGGTCAAATACTTATTTCCCTCATTAAAATGCAAATCAATTTATAAAATTTTTGACATGAGTTTTTCTGGATTTTTTTGGTTGTTATTCTGTCTCTCACTGTTCTAATAAACCTACCATCAAAATTATAGACTGATCATGTCTTTGTCAGTGGGCAAACGTACAAACTCAGCAGGGGATCAAATACTTTTTTCCCTCACTGTATGTTCACTATTGAAGCTCCTCACTGTAGTTCACTATTGGAAGGTTTTACTTTTTTTGTAAATCACTTACTTTGTAATCCTTTCCCTAAAATGATAAGCTCAGCTAGTAGATTGGATTGGTGTGATTCTTTTTGCTCTGGACAGCTCACGTGTGCGGTGTGAAGGCATCAACTCATGTACTGCTCGCGTACTCGGAAGTTGACTTGCGGGAGTGTGGTGGTGCTTGAATGAACGGCCAATTGTATTGCTCAAATACAAATAGCATGACATTTACACGTGTAGTCTTCAATGGTTTTCAATGGTAGACAGCGACAGAGCAGGTAAATGCTGAACTGGAATGCAAAAATGCGCTGATAGGTTACTGGTTCTATTGGACCAGTGACTGACAAGATCCAAAGGTCCAACATGTGTTTTTTGTTTTTTACTGGCCCTGGACCAGTGACTGACAAGATCCACTGGTCCAACACAGGTTTTTACTGGCCCTGGGCCAGCAGGCCATCATTAATGTTGTCCCTGCACGCGAAAGAAAATACATGAATGTGCCTGAAAACAATATGCTAAGTGGATTTCGACTCATCGTTACCACATTATATGGGATGTGCAAATTCATACTCTCTCTCTCCGTGTAAAGAAATGTGACTGCAACCACAACACGCACACCCACGTACCGAGAGGCGGGACAGACAGCAGACTGTCAAACCAGCAGTGTTTCCCTGTCATCGCTCACTTTGTGACTGACAAGCACCGGTCCTATCAATAGATCGATAGAAGATGCATATCATTCATTCTAGTGGGAGAGGGCTCGGCAGACTTTTTCTGACTAGCTAATTTATATGTAGCCTAGTTAATTTAAGTGGAAAAAGTACCCGGCTGAAAATGAGTCTAATCAACTGTATAGCCGACAGCCTGCGCTAGTGGAAAAAACTGAACATGGTGTTCCTCTACACAAGTCAAGTGGGTGCTGAGATGTTTTCCTTGTTTTATCCAATCTGTCGAAAGAAAATATATTCAAACCTCAAGCAAATGTTGATGGTAGCATCTGTATCTGATAATGGCTAAAGGTGAGAGGTGTGTGTGTGTTTCCCTACCCAGCTCAGGTCCAGATAGAAGGGGACTTCCTGCCTTGCTCCTTTTCTATCCTGGAGGACCAACCTATGGACATGCTGCTTGGACTGGACATGCTCAAGAGACATCAGGTCAGATCCCTCCAAATCCATGAACACTACCACATATACAGTGCATTCGGAAAGTATTCACACCCCTCGACTTTTTCCACATTTTGTTACGTTACAGCCTTATTTTAAAATTGATTAAATACAAATAAATCCTCATCAATCTATACACAATACCCCAGAATGACAAAGCGAAAACCGGTTTTTAGAAATGATTGCTAATTTATTTGGAAGATTTGGAAAGGCATAAAACCCTGTCTATATAAAGGTCCCACAGTTGACAGTGCATGTCAGAGCAAAACCCAAGCCATGAGGTCGAAGGAATTGTCCGTAGAGCTCCAAGACAGGATTGTGTTGAGGCACAGATCTGGGGAAGGGTACCAAAACATTTCTGCAGCATTGAAGGTCCCTAAGAACACAGTGGCATCCATCATTCTTAAATGGAAGAAGTTTGGAACCACCAAGACGCTTCCTAGAGCTGGCCACCAGGCCAAACTACGCAATCGGGGGAGAAGGTCCTTGGTCAGGGAGGTGACCAAGAACCTGATGGTCACTGACAGAGCTCCAGATGTCCTCTGTGGAGATGGGAGAACCTTCCAGAAGGACAACCATCTCTGCAGCACTCCACCAATCAGGCCTTTATGGATGAGAGGCCAGACGGAAGCCACTCCTCAGTAAAAGGCACATGACAGCCCGCTTGGAGTTTGACAAAAGGCACCTAAAGGACTCTCAGACCATGAGAAACAAAATTCTCTGGTCTGATGAAACCAAGATTGAACTCTTTGGCCTGAATGCCAAGCATCACGTCTGGAGGAAACCTGGCACCATCCCTACGGTGAAGCATGGTGGTGGCAGCATCATGCTGTGAGGATGGTTTTCAGCGGCAGGGACTGGGAGACTAGTCAGGATCGAGGCAAAGATAAACAGACCAAAGTGCAAAGAGATCCTTGATGAAAACCTGCTCCAGCGCACTCAGACTGGGGCGGAAGTTCACCTTCCAACAGGACAATGACCCTAAGCACACAGCCAAGACAACGCAGGAGTGGCTTCGGGACAAGTCTCTGAATGTCCTTGAGTGGCCGAGTCAGAGCCCAGACTTGAACCCGATCAAACATCTCTGGAGATACCTGGAAATAGCTGTGCAGCGACGCTCCCCATCCAACCTGACAGAGCTTGAGAGGATCTACAGAGAAGAATGGGAGAAACTCCCCAAATACAGGTGTGCCAAGCTTGTAGCGTCATATCCCAAGAAGACTTGAGGCTGTAATCGCTGCCGAAGGTGCTTTAACAAAGTACTGAGTAAAGGGTCTGAATACTTATGTAAATGTGATATTTCAGCTTATTATTTATTAATTTTTTGATTGAGGAAAAAAATACGATTTAATCAATTTTAGAATAAGGCTGTAACGTAACAAAATGTGGAAAAAAATCAAGGGGTCTGAATACTTCCCGAATGCACTGTAAATGACATCCAAACTAATCCCTGTGTGTAAACTACTGTTCTGTTTATATATCCTGCTACCTCAGTGTTCAATTGACCTGAAGAAGAACACGTTGCTGATCGGGACAACGGGCACTGAGACCTGCTTCCTGCCTGAGGCAGAGCTGCCAGAGTGTGCCCGGCTGGCATACGGGCCGGAGGGGCGTGAGGATGCCCAGCCAGACGAGATCGCAGACCGAGAGCTGGCGGAGGCACTTCAGAGATCTGTACAGGAGGGTGGTAAGGAACGCGGTCTGGGAGAGGGCTATAGTGATTCCTCAGCTCTCTGTCTGCACTCTCAAAAGTAGTGGACATTACTGCAGCAGAGACATGAGCCAGAAAGCACATTTGCATTTAGCTTCGTTACCCCTGAACCCTGTTTCTACAGTCATCTGCATTCTCAGCAGGGGTTGGAACCCACATTTTTTTTTCAAATCGTTTCATTCTGAACAGAACCACCATTTTGTTTTTGTTACTTTCCAGTGTTCCAACCAGCAAAATAAAGGTACTGGTTTATATAGTTCCTTTCTGTTCCTTTTTTAATCTGTGAAATCAACAGTTTTTTTACATTTGGCTCATTAAATTACTTCACCAATCAGTGCGGATAGAGCAGGCAAGCTAGTTGTTTACATGCATGATGGACAGACAAGTGTTGCTTATGGCGAAAGGTGCAACATACATATTGCAGGTGGGGAGCGAGCAAGAGGGCTGAGGAGGAGGCTTGAAGGCATCTTGTTATGACATGCATTATCTGAATTAGGCCCACAGAATTATACCTAAGAGGAGCGGCTTCTATGGAGGAACTTTAAATGTCCTTTGATCTAACTAGCTAACAAGCTTGAGCTAGCTAGCTAACAAGCTTGTGTGTGCAGAGCGACACCAGAATTAAAAACATGTCTTACCTTTTTGTAGGTAATAAATTCATTGTGAAAAGTGATAACTAGGCCTATAGTATCCTTAACTAGCATTGAAAAAGTTAATCCATTCTTCTCTAGCTAATTAAAAATCTCTCTCCCTATCTTCTGAATCAAGCTTGTAACGTCAGTACAGTAGCCTATGCTTCAGATGGGCAGGTAGCCTAAACACACAGGCAAAGATTTCCAGCTTGCAGGCAGACGCTGGATACGTTTCTGAGTGACAGAGTGATGGCCTTGCATAGGCGCTTTGTTACGTTTTGTTGTGGGACTAGAAAAAAATGTCTGGAATGTAAAATAACGTTATTAACCGGTTCCCATGCTTTTAAAATAACGGTTCCGTTCCGGGACAGTATGGATCACTTTCCTTCCAGGTTCCGTTTCTGTTCCTTGAAATAAAAATCTGTTTCGGTTCTGTTCCCTGAACCGGTTCCAACCCCTGATTCTGTCACATACATGATCACTGCATGTAATCACCTCAGCCAATGAAAAATAAGCTTTATAAATCAGACCTAGGTATGAAATCAAAATCTGACCTGTGGTTGGATTTAGTCTAGTTGGTGTTAGTCTTTGTTTGGTTCTGTAAATGTATTTGGTTTAACAGTTCTTCTTTAAGTAAAAAAGACAATGAAATCCCTCTGCGGACCAATTTAGCTCATGGAGGAGGTTAGATGACAGGTCATGTGATCACTCTGTGACCTCTAGGGTCATAGGTCAAATAAAGTTATCTTGGCTGACACTGTTCACCACGATGTGAACAGTCTTGACAGCGTGGTGCATGCTTTGTGTGCGAGTGCTAACTCTCTGCGTCCCTTTGCATGATGTGTGGTGTGTGGCCTAACCCTGAGCAGGACAGCACTGATGCATTTGGGGAGACAGCTGGAGAGGGCCTTACCAACCAGGTATTGCAAACCTACAGAGAGAATCAATGCTAAATCCATCACCCATATTCTCTTCTTTATTTGGGGATTTTGTTGCAAAAGTTTATTTTGGGCTTATTGAAAAAACATAATAAATATTGGTACGATATTAGTAATACATCCTTTAATAAATAGTCAATAGTATTTACCATGTTTTTCAACTTATTTAAAAAAGCATAGGATGCAATCACTGATTAAAAGGGGTAGTTAGAGATTTTGGCAATCCCTGTAGACTTCCAGTCATTGCGCTAATGCTAACTTCCTTCCTACTGGACACAATGACATAAAAATGGTATCCACGAGTTTGTCTGACTATGGGGAAGTAGCCAAAATCTCAAATTATCCCTTTTAAGGTCTCTGCATTTCAATTTCATGTTTCATTTCAGAAGCTGGCATGGACAAACTATGCATGTTGTGTGCAAGAGTGTTTTGGTCCGTAGCAAGTTTCAATTGTTGTTCAACTACTGTTTATTCTAAAACTGATCTCTACCATCACACTGCAGGTGGACAAACTACCTCACCGGAATCCCCACTATTCCCAACACCCAGACCCCTGAACAACATGCCCCTGTCCTCCACCTCTACCACCGGCCACCCCCAGAGCCTTGCCCTGGACCGTTCTCAGTCTGCTCCAGCCTACATGCGCCAGGCCGGGGCCCCAACACCAGGGCAGAGCCAGAGCCAAACCCAGCCTGGTTTCCTGGGTTTCCCCATCCCTGGGCCCTCATCCCAGGCCCAGAGCATAGCACCTACAGCCCAACAGTCTCCTCTCTCAGACCCAAGCCCTACCAACCCCACCCAGCCACTCCTACCCACCATCCCCACTCCCCCGGCTCAGGATCTGTCCACATGCGCCCCTCCTGCAGACAAGTCTGTGACTGGCACTCCCACCCTGGGAGGTTCATACAGTCAGATCCCTCCAGAGATGGGGTATGGCTCTGAGAAGGCAGAGAATAGCTCCCTGTCCCCCCTCTCAATTCAGCCCATGGAGCAGGAGGAGGACATGTCAGTCACCACCACAGATCCCCGGACATGTCTGAGTACCCCGAGTCAGCAGAGTGGAGAGGGTGAAGGGGGTTCCCACCATCCCATCTCCAATCTCCCATCACTCACCCTGGAGCCATGTCTTTCTGGATCCACATCTGCGGAGATGGAGTCTCACCCTGCCTCCTCCCAGAGCACTGCGCAATCAGAGCGGGACCAGCCAGAGGGGGAGCGCTGTCCCAACTCAGACCAGATCCCGTCTCTGGCCCAGGCTCTGCGGGAGCTCCATGAGCTGCTGGTGTCTAACAGCTGTGGCCTGTCCCCCCAGGACCGCAGTGCCAGCTGCTCCCCCTCACACAGACAGGATGCTGACGGACTGCACAACAACCACAACCCCACCGCAGAGCCCCAAACCCTGATACCCGAAAACACCAAACAACCATCCCCCTCTACTGCCATTATAGCTGGTGCAGAACCATGCGATGCCAAAGCCAACCATGCTGCTGCTGTGTCTGACGGAGGGCCTCCTCCTGACTGTGTCCTGCCAGTCACCTCTGGCCAGGAGCAGAGCCTGGAGACTAGGGACGGGGCAGAGGCTGAACCAGGAGAGGGACAGGGAGAACTAGAACCACAGTGTCCAGACAGCTCCTGGGGGGAAAGGAGGGCTGACAGGTATGGGCTAGATGCCAGTAAAAGCAGAGGGACTGTGTCTGAGGTCCAGGGTCCCTCCCCCTCTTCACTCCAAGCAGACCTGGAGTTTAGGGAGCCCCCTGAGGGGCAGCAGGGGAGGGGTGTGGCAGACGGGAGAGCCTCTGGCATTGACAACCCAGACACTCTCGGCCTCCAACCTGAGCCAACACAGCAGAGCCCCCTGTCCATGGCTGTGGGTTCACCTGAGGACAACTCTGGCGTTTCGCCCCGCACTTCACCTCCTCAGGCCCTGGGCAACCACCACCACCCCTCCTCCTCCTCCTCCTCCTCCTCTACAGCCCCACTCTTCTCTGCTCCACATCCCGTTACTGAACAGTTTCCGGCTGAGCACATCCAGAGGATCCAGGCAGCTGGCTTCTCTGCCAGGGAGGCTGCAGAGGCACTGGAACAGGCCCAGGGTAGTGTGGAGCTGGCTCTGCTGGCACTACTGGCCCGCAAGATCACTGTGCCCACCTAGATACTCACAACATTACAATCATATGGGAGTCCCAGCCTCTTGTCAACATCGGTTTCATGCTTTTTGTCTCTTGGTTTCTCACAGACCATACAACAACTACTTATTTGTTCCTAGATTGAGCCGATATGATCTGAGTTGTGTTTGCATGCAGCAGTTGGTGCCTGTTTCATGGATTTTATAGATGGGATTTAGTAGATTGATTTCCTTCATTTTTCCCCCCCTTTGTTTAACCCTGTATATACATATTTTATTCTAAACACAATTGAACTGCCCCATTAATGAGAAAATGTTGGTAAATGTTTACATTTGTATGTTGAATGGCATTTGTTTAAAGGGCCGAATATAACCTAAAATAGTATGTTAAAATGTCAGATTTGTGAGGAGTATTATTGCTCTGCTAAACAATTTATTTGTTTGAAATTGATGTTTGATTTTAATTCAACTCAGATTATGCTGATAAAACCCACCAGACAGTCAAAAACATATTACACTGTGGAAATTACTGCATTTAAGAAGCATTGCTAACTGCTGATCTTTGTCTTTTTCTGCTGATGTTAGCATTTTGTAATACGACATTTTCTCAGTCATGTGATTATTGCCAATCTTGGGGAACTTGGGTGTTTTCATTTTTAGACAGCTTGCACGAGAAAATAAATGAAGCAGCACCACCCTTTACTTTCTACACTACTTTTTTGATAGAGGAACATCACCAAGGAGTTATGAGAGTATTTAGTATTTCTGGAAATTGTCAGTGTGAGATTGTGCAGGTAAAAGATAAGGAAGTCTTCAACTATAACAGCATGTGTAATAGGAACATCTTTGGAAATGTGATATGGTCATTTATAGAGGGGTTTTGGTAGTTCCTGTTCACTTTCAGATATCTATCATACAGTTGAAGTTTACATACACCTTAGCCAAATACATTTAAACTGAGTTTTTCACAATTCCTGACATTTAATCCTAGTAGAAATGCTATGTCTTAGGTCAGTTAGGATCACCACTTTTATTTTAAGAATGTGAAATGTCAGAATAATAGTAGAGTGGTTTATTTAATCTTTTAGTTCTTTCATCACATTCCCAGTGGGTCAGAAGTTTACATACACTCAATTAGTATTTGGTAGCATTGCCTTTAAATTGTTTAACTTGGGTCAAACGTTTCAGGTAGCCTTCCACAAGCTTCCCACAATAAGTTGGGTGAATTTTGGCCCATTCCTCCTGACAGCTGGTGTTACTGAGTCAGGTTTGTAGGCCTCCTTGCTCGCACACGCTTTTTCAGTTCTGACCACACATTTTCTATAGGATTGAGGTCAGGGCTTTGTGATGGCCACTCCAATACCTTGACTTTGTTGTCCTTAAGACATTTTGCCACAACTTTGGAAGTATGCTTGGGGTCAGTGTCCATTTGGAATTCCCATTTGCGACCAAGCTTTAACTTCCTGACTGATGTCTTGAGATGTTGCTTCAATATATCCACATAATTGTCCTTCCTCATGATGCCATCTATTTTGTGAAGTGCACCAGTCCCTCCTGCAGCAAAGAACCCCCAATGCATGATGCTGCCACCCCGTGCTTCACGGTTGGGATGGTGTTTCTTCGGCTTGCAAGCGACCCCCTTTTTCCTCCAAACATAACAATGGTCATTATGGCCAAACAGTTCTATTTTTGTTTAATCAGATCAGAGGACATTTTTCCAAAAAGTACGATCTTTGTCCCCATTTGCAATTGCAAACCGTAGTCTGGCTTTTTTTATGGCGGTTTTGCAGCAGTGGCTTCTTCCTTGCTGAGCGGCCTTTCAGGTTATGTTGATATAGGACTCGTTTTACTGTGGATTTAGATACTTTTGTACATTTTTCCTCCAGCATCTTCACAAGGTCATTTGCTGCTGTTCTGGGATTGATTTGCACATTTCTCACCAAAGTATGTTCATCTCTAGGAGACAGAACGCGTCTCCTTCCTGAGCGGTATGACAGCCGCGTGGTCCCATGGTGTTTATACTTGCATACTATTGTTTGTACAGATGAACGTGGTACCTTCAGGCGTTTGGACATTGCTCCCAAGGATGAACCAGGCTTGTGGAGGTCTACAATTTTTTTCTGAGGTCTTGGCTGATTTCTTTTGATTTTCCCATGATGCCAAGCAAAGAGGCACTGCGTGTGAAGGTAGGCCTTGAAATACATCCACAGGTACACCTCCAATTGACTCAAATGATGTCAATTAGCCTATCAGAAGCTTCTAAAGCATGACATCATTTTCTGGAATTTTCCAAGCTGTTTAAAGGCACAGTCAACTTAGTGTATGTAAACTTCTGACCCACTGGAATTGTGACACAGTGAATTATAACAGAAATAATCTGTCTGTAAACAATTGTTGGAAAAATGACTTGTGTCATGCACAAAGTAAATGTCCTAACCGACTCGCCAAAACTATAGTTTGTTAACAAGAAATTTGTGGAGTGGTTGAAAAACGAGTTTTAATGACTCCAACCTAAGTGTATGTAAACTTCCGACTTCAACTGTACATGTAGAATTACTCAACTGGAAATCTCTCCCACAGTCCAAGTCTACCCTATCCAGCTGTCAGATCATTTGCTCATTCATTTATTCATATATCCATTATCAACTTTGGTTTTTTAATTGTATTATCTGGGTCATATTCATATACCAACAACATCGTGGCAGGTCGAATTATTTAGTTTTATCTTGTACTCAATTTAAACTCCCAAATAAAGTAAACCTGGTTATTTGTATTGTATGTGTGTGGTTTATGGTATTTCTAAAGAATGGTGTTAAGATTGTAATTAAAGCCATGTTTTGCTCATCTGTTTTATATTTGTTATTCTTTGCTCATAGTTGCTTTTGCATATTATGCAAACATATGAGTTAGTGAAGTAAGCAGACTTGTTTTTATGTCGGCTCTATCCTTATGGCAGGGTGAGGGGAACCTGACTATGAATGGGCAGAAGTGTCATGAATAGGGCAGACGGCACCACCTGTAGACTTTATCTGATAGTGTATGAGGGTGAGGTGAGATACACAATGGATTGGACCATATTTTTCTCGTCAATCATTTTGAAAAAACTTTCGCTTAAAAACTGGAAATCAAGTGATGCTCCATCGTTGGGATGGTGGAAGAATCGAATGCATTATTATTTGAATATTGAAAAGCTGTGGGCGACAGAAGGGCAGAGTGGCACAATTCGAGCTCATGTGGAATAGAGGCTTGCAGGATAGAGTTAATAGAACTAAATAGACGTAATCTATGAAAACAGCAACTGTTTTTGCTCTGAAGGCCATGTTTGAGATGACTGGTACTGAGGCCTCCTACCTGAAAAGCCTGGGGGTAGCTGTGAATCATTTCTTTGCATCGAAGTCACTGAAAAAGACCCTCCATTGCATGAAGCATCACATCCTATTCTCCAAACTGCACAGTATGAAGGGAAACAAATGAAGGGTAAGGACTGCCAATGGACTAGACTTTACAGGACAGACCAGACTGGCATGATACCAAGCTTGACTTGACCCACAAGGTTTCTCATTGGGCCATTGTGTTGAATGTCAGTCTTGGTAAAATGACAGGACGAAAATCCTCCATAGTCTCCATGTATTTGACATTTTATATCAACTTGTGTGTTATGGGGCTTTAGGCTGAGTGACTGCTCTGATACCTGCAGGTTTCTGCTGGGCCTGGAGTTGCATCTGGGGTTAGTGTGGTGATCTTTCAGGTTGGAGAGATTCTTGCTCCATCACTGCCCTATGTTATGATCCCTCTACGTGCCATATGTGAACAACATGATGTACCAGGAGGCCCTCGTCACTCTACTGCTGTCAGTAATTTCTCTGTCTTGTCTGAAGATCATCATGGAGGTAAGCAGGCCTCGGAGAAAGGAGTCTACAGCAGCAGAGGAGGAGTAGCAGTATCGGGTGGTGCAAGTCCCTGACTCCACTGGTTGGGGTTTGGTATAGAGGAATTTCATGCAACAGACTTCATGTTGAGGTTAATGCAGGGAGTTTCTGATGTCATTGCAGAGAATCTTGAAGCTGACTGAGCAAGACTCAGATCCCTTGTCTGAAAGAGGTCATTGAAGCTGTACACAAGGTAGAGGTCAATTGTCGAATGGTTAGCCTACAACCTTTTTTTTATCCTCCAATGTTCTGTGGAGACCAGGTAGTGACGGAGTGTGATGAGGGGGATTAGCAAATTGAGCAACTGGTGTACCTGGACAAGCTCATGGGTTTTGGCAATGTCAAGGTTTAACATTGTGTGTGCAACTACCAGTGTTGTGGAAGCTACTCTGAAAATAAAGTTTACCACGCTACAAATTACTTCACAACGGAAGAAGTTAAGCTACACTAATGCTACCCTTTAGAAAAGTATAGTTTTCTTAACTGAAGTTAGTTTGAAAAAGTTGTTCACTACAGCCAAACTAAATGATCATGTCTAAATCTGAAATGTCATAGACTACAAATTGCAAGAACAGATCACTCTGGAGTCAGATGTTAACAGAATGTGTAATTTGGCCTAAAACACACAAACTGTTTCAAGTGAGAATTAAGCAGGTCTGATGCCGGAAAAGGAAATTCTTGCCTACTTCACCCATATTTTATTTTTGCAATAGAAAATTGTGTATAGTTCCAGTAGTTAGCTACACTGCTACATGGCAAAAAAAAATATATAACTACTGAAAACAATACCTAGATATGAATTTAGTTAAACTACCACCAAGCTACTGCAAACTGTACTTAAATGAGTAGTTTAACTATATGTAGTTCACTACTCCCCAACACTGGCTACTAATTGTATCCCTTCTGTTTACCAAGATCACAACTATGAAAAATGAATACGTGCAGATAGATTTTTTTAAAAGACAGCCTGCTTCTTCTCCCTGTTTAACCTATAGGTGGCAGTGGTTCCTCAAAGGCAAACCCCAGCATTGTGATTCACCATTGACCTCAGTGTTTCTCTTTTCAGTCCATTCCTCTGATCACAAGTGGACGGTTTCTGGTGCATGATGGTTCCTTGAAAACAGCTCACTCCAGAGGGCTATGTGCCGGGTTCCAGGATTTCCTACATGGACTTTTACCTGCACCTTTACAATGACCTGTTGCTTATCTCATTTAAAAAATATGCTTCCACATCCTCATACATCTATGAAAAATATTTACAAGCACTACATCCAAGCACTATGCTTGTTAAATACAAAGTACCACTTTCTCTTTGTCATGTGTTACTACGGTCTTCTCCAACCATCAGGGAGCTGTGTTTCAGTGTGGTGGAACCAAGCGGTGTTCCCCACCTACAGTTGAAGTCGGAAGTTTACATACACTTAGGTTGGAGTCATTAAAACTAGTTTTTCAACCACTCCACACATTTCTTGTTAACAAACTATAGTTTTGGCAAGTCGGTTAGGACATCTACTTTGTGCATGACACAAGTAATTTTTCCAACAATTGTTTACGGACAGATTACCGTATTTAGCTTATAATTCACTGTATCACAATTCCAGTGGGTCAGAAGTTTACATAAATTACGTTGACTGTTCCTTTAAACAGCTTGGAAAATTCCAGAAAATGATGTTATGGCTTTAGAAGCTTCTGATAGGCTAATTGACATCATTTGAGTCAATTGGAGGTGTACCTGTGGATGTATTTCAAGGCCTACCTTCAAACTCAGTGCTTCTTTGCTTGACATCATGGGAAAATCAAAAGAAATCAGCCAAGACCTCAGAAAAATAATTGTAGACCTCCACATGTCTGGTTCATCCTTGGGAGCAATTTCCAAACGCCTGAAGGTACCACGTTCATCTGTACAAACAATAGTACGCAAGTATAAACACCATGGGACCACACAGCTGTCATACCGCTCAGGAAGGAGACGCGTTCTGTCTGGACAATGACCACAAGCATACTTCCAAAGTTGTGGCAAAATGGCTTAAGGACAACAAAGTCAAGGTATTGGAGTGGCCATCACAAAGCCCTGACCTCAATCCTATAGAAAATGTGTGGGCAGAACTGAAAAAGCGTGTGCGAGCAAGGAGGCCTACAAACCTGACTCAATAACACCAGCTCTGTCAGGAGGAATGGGCCAAAATTCACCCAACTTATTGTGGGAAGCTTGTGGAAGGCTACCCGAAACGTTTGACCCAAGTTAAACAATTTTAAAAGGCAATGCTACCAAATACTAATTGAGTGTATGTAAACTTCTGACCCACTGGGAATGTGATGAAAGAAATAAAAGCTGAAATAAATCATTCTCTCTACTATTATTCTGACAATACACATTCTTAAAATAAAGTGGTGATCCTAACTGACTTTACTAGGATTAAATGTCAGGAATAGTTAAAAACTGAGTTTAAATGTATTTGGATAAGGTGTATGTAAACTTCCGACTTCAACTGTATGTGCACACTGAGCAGCTGAAAACAGAGGCCCTTGGTCTGCCCCTAGAGTCCTTCGTACTGCGCCTCTCCCAGAACCACACTGGGCATGCCCCTGCCTTTATACTCACCCCACATACCACTACCAGGTAAGAATTTTGTTATAAATTCCTTTGTCCCCTCACACCTTATTCACAAAATGACTCCATGTGTATATATGTACAGGTCAGACAAAGAGCCCTGGATGAAAGCTCTGTCCTCACAAAGTCAGTGGGAACACAGACAGAGCTAATGTTTTTCTGGAAGAGCAGCAGTGTTTTAGTTGCCAGTCAGTGTTACTGCATTGGGAAAATAATGTTTACAGTTTTACTGACACGTTTCAGCTTGTGATATTGCACAAGGTGATGCAGCACAGTTTCAATTGATGTTCAGTCTGTTCCACTGTATTGGTTTTCCTTTTGGTTATTTTGATGGACCACACACCACAGCACTTGTTTGCACATTGATGACTTGGCCACATCACAGTTACCCAGCTCACAATTGAGTTTAGGAAATAGCGGTTTTGAATTTGTACGTACATTTTATGCATGATAAATAGTGTCTTTTTAAAAAATCATGTTGACCTTTTTCTGCTGAAATCGCTCATATATTTCTGTAGTTATATTTTGAGACTTTATTCCTGCCCTCAGTTCAATATAAATTAAGTATATCATATTCATTCAGACAGAACTCGTTTTCTACAAAAACATGTTGTTCAAAGAACCAAAAAACTCTGATGCAGTTTCTGTTTCTCCACAGTCCTATGTGAGAAGGTAATCCAGGACAGCTCTGTTGAGTGTCCCACAGCAGTGGTGTCTCAACCTATTGATTTCATACATGTACCACAGTAGCAGCCTCTGACTGTGTGGAGACTGGGAGGATGGTAGACCTGGCAGCCACACAGTCCTGGTGCCACAGGTGCTCTGCCAGGCAGTTCAGTAGGGGAGCTACCTCACCCAGGTTACTGACGTTGCTGACGTCACCCCCCATACGGAACACAGGCAACCCCCAGACCTCCTGGAACCGAGACACCTCTCTCTCCGTCACGTCTGTGTGCATGAACAGGTCAAATCTGAGGATCGCTGTCAAGAACAAAGAATTCTGGGTAGTGGATATTAATCGGTCACAAACGGTCAACCACACCCCCACAGGGAATGATGTAAGGATACTTGGTGCCAACAACCAATTTCACAACTCTGTCGCAAGGTTCAGACCCTCTGGCGATCTGATTGGACAGATCATCGAAGGAGGCTCGGTCAGTAAAGGAGAAGAGGAAGAGGATGGCATCCACCTGTTCCTTACAGGACTGAGACGCACATGAAAAGGGAAAGGGAATTTAATCATTTTTGTTAATATGAATCACCAAAACATTGTGCAGCTTTTAATGCTATTATTCTTTTTTCCTGTGCTAAGTGAAGCTTGTGATATTTCAAGCATACCGGAAGCAAGTGGTCAAATCGGCGTAAGGCGTTCTCTCCACAATCCCATAGCTGCAAGCGGAAAAACAGAACACGACCGCTCTCCCTCAACTTCACGGGCCAATACACCACTGTGGTCTCAATACCTACAAGAACAGGTGTGTTACTTGAGAAATGTGCTGTTACACATGTTAATTTAACCCATAATATGCAGGCATTATGCCAAATGTTCACAGCTGCACTAGGCCTACCTGTATTATGCCAAATGTTCACAGCTGCACTAGGCCTACCTGTAGTTTCATAGTGCATGTTAGGAATATTCAATCCAGCTAGACGTGCAGCAAGAGCAGTCTTCCCCACCCCACTCTTTCCTGTTATGAAAATCTTATAGTGAACAGTGTCCACAGCCACATTTGGGGGCATCACTGGAGCCTCCAGAAGACCTGGAAAAATGTATATTTATATTTTTTTGTATTCAAATGTAAAGTTAATGAATCAATATAAGGCTAACTGTGTACAGTATGATTTATGTATGATATACAAGTAGGGCAATTTAGCAGATACTAAGTCAAGAAACATACCAAAGTTTCTACGTCTTTTCTTGTGTAGAATCCTGCTGAAGAACTCCTTGCTATCTGCACTTCGGTGCCAGTCGGCTACAACAACCGACCCAGAATCGAGGACTTGTGCCATATTGTGTGGTTCGACTACGCACTGGCGTGACAGCTATAAAGCATCAGCTCTGTGTACGTCTACGAATCGATACCGAGGTCCCTGCGTGAGTACCCGACCGGACCACCTGCACCTTTTGAAGTTCATGGATTCTATTTTTACACTTATTGATGTTACCGTAGCGCTGCGCGACTAAATTGTGATATTTGAAATGTTTGAACGATAACAGAGAACCGGAGACTGAAAGGAAGCGTTCTTACCTTGACAACCAGACCAGCGTCTCGTCATCAACATTAAAAAAAGTACTACCGGGTCATGGAATTTCCCCCACTGTAGTAGAAAAGTGTAATTTACTTATATTTATTCATAATATATAAAACATTATTGTCTAAACATTAACATTTATTCATATTTGTTCATATTTATGTGACATTTGCATTAAATGTTGGTTTTAAAACATTTTCAAAGTCAAACAAATGCCTCCAATGCAAAACACTGTATTTGAAACACATATGACTTATAGAGAAACAAGTATTATATGTGCCGATGTAAAAGTGGGGTTGGGAATACTCAGTAGGGTCTGTAGAATCTATATATGATGTTATTTCATTGGGGACTGGTCTCAATACCCAGCAACACTTTCTACTCCACCAACTCCATAGTTATGAATAAAGTGTGCTTTTTTGGACCAAATGTACTTGCATTTCTCTTGACTTTTTGAATAAACATATTGTATGTTGTATATTTTCCTAAGTGTCCACCAGAAGGAAGATAATAAGCTATTAGTAGCTTACATTAAATGTATTTTGGTATGACAATGTGTCCTATGATGCAGTGCTATATTTGAACCATATAGTGTCCAGGCACCCCATTTTAAGCTGTTTGACCACAGTAAAAGTCCAGCAACACTTCCTATGACCTTACTTTTTGTTCATCTGTTTTGTATTCTAGGGACTCTAGTGAGTAGACTGGACTCTGGTTTTATGGACACACAATCAATCGTTTTTCCTGTACAGTGCAGGTTGTTTGTGCAATACAACAAAAATACAGTAAGACTTTTCTTAAACATTACATTTAAAAAATGCATCCTTGAAAAATAGCACCAGTAAATTAACAAGCCTATATTTTTTACCATTAGGCTATTTATTATGTTCTTTACATTCATTTACTTAAGCTCCAACCATTTCTCAATGTGCTCCACCTTATAATATTCTTGATCTGATATAAAGTAGTAATTCTCTTTAGTTTAGATTTTTCCCCATGTAGTTATATATTTTTTACGTTATGAACTATGCAAAGCTGCAAGAAATATTGATTTCGTATCATACACATGGCGTTTTACCATGGACGTTTATTTTGAAGGCAATATCCGAAAACCGTCTTGCTGCCGTGACGCTGATGACAATCAGCTTCCGGCAAATAAAAAAAAAGACTTAACTTCCGGTTACTTTCAAAGTTAAAGTAATCAACTTCCAATTGCATTGACTTCCACTGCTGGTGTTTGATTAGTTTATTCTGGAAATTATCTTAGAGGAACTGACACAGATGTAACATGAAATAATAAACAAACATTCGGCTATATTGTGATAAATAAAAAAGTATATCAGTTTCACTTAAGGACCAAAGGATTGACAGCCGTCCCATATAGATTGCAAAATAGTTGGGAAGAGATCTTTGAGTACCGATCCCATGGCATAGTGTTTATGAACTGACACGCAAAACGACACCGGATTCAAAAATTAGAATCTTTCAATTTAAATTATTATATTAAATTATTGCTACCAATAGAATGTTATTTATATGGGGGATACAATCTTCCCAGCTCTGCAGATTTTGCTGTGAAGAGACAGAATCATTAGATCATTTGTTTTGGTTCTGTCCATTTGTAGCTTGTTTTTGGACACAGGTCCAGGAATGGCTAAAGGATTGCAATATTTACCTGGAGCTAACCTTGCAGATAGCATTACTGGGTGATCTGAAAAGTCATAGTCAATCAATCAATAACATAATAATACTTTTAGCAAAAATGTTTATTTTTAATTCACAATCTGTAGAAGCAATGAGAATAGAAAGGTTCAGAACTTTTGTAAAACATCACAGTACGGTTGAAATATATATGGCAAATAGAAATCCTATATGGATGGTGTTAAGAGATAGATGGGAGGTATTGAATAGAGTTGAAGGATGCGAATAACAACAAATAATAACAAAGATAGCTAATAATGTAAGCATACTGTGTCCATAATAAGTATATAGGTTGTAAGTTGGGAGCTTTTGGGAAAGAGCACAGTTAGAAAGATATGGCATATAGAAGCAAACCGGATGGACATCATGAAAATGATCAGAGAGGTTGAGAGTAGAAGAAGTTCAGGGGCAAAGAAAAAATATATAAAATATATATATATATATATATATATATAATAGAATTATTGCAAAATTAACTCTGTCCATAAGGTGTAGATAGTAAGTATAGACCGGAAGTAGAGGCCTGGGCATTGTTGTTCACTAATTTACTCCAAGTAGGGAAAGGATGGCGGGGTTGAAAAGTAATAAAGGGGAGTATATATATAAAAAACATGGGGGATTGGAAGTGATGCAGACAATTACATTGATAGAAGATACAATCTATCTGCAATATTAAGCTGATCCATCCCCCCCCAAAATAAAAATAAATAAAAATAAAATAAAAAAATTATTTAAAAAAATTCAAAAACAAAGTTACAAAAATAAAAATAATTAATAATAACATTCGGCTATATTAAAATCCTATATAAAAATTAGGCACTGGGGAGCACCATTCCCAGGGGCCTCATTCAAGAATAGATGTTGTCCTAGGGACATTATGCCCCTCCCCATTCCCCAAGTTAGAATTTAATGTGAATTAAATTAAAATAATTAATTGAATATAATCATCTGAATGAATGCAACCTGATTGCTGTGTGTGTGTTTAAACTTTTCCACACCTCCCACATCCTATGGAAGACTAATTTCTTCTGGCTTTGACAGTCAGAGTCAGACAGTCACCACTTTTTTCCAATGAGGTTGTCACAGACATTGGATCCACGTCCCCCGGCAACTGGCACTTGTGGGCAAAAGTGTTCCTAACCGTGCCATCCTCTGCTAGCTGGTGGGAACAAATTATGAGACAAGAACATGACAAGAGGAGGAAAGTGAGGTAAACAAATAAGAATAGATGTACATTTGGTAACAACAATAACTTATACACAACAAGTGTTTGATGTTCCGGAACTTCAGCTCACTTTCTCCGCATAGACTTCTATAAGGTTGTTTGACGATGTGATGATGACATCCTCTGGAGAGAACTCACTCACATCCACTGTGAACAGGTACATGTCTCCCATCGACTGGATCTTTCCCGTAGGATGAGAGTGGCCTGGAAATAACAGCCATCCTCTGTCACCCAGATGCGCACTCACATTGCAGCTAGTTTTCATCCTCACCACAATGTAGTATTACATAAACCACTCTATTTCTTATCAATATCTCCTGTAAAGTTAGTCATAGCACAGATAATACAACAAATCTTCAGAAAGGACCTGCGAGTTTGTTGTTATTGTTGGAACAGTGTGAGGAAGATCCTAAATATTGTGTGAAGTTACCTTGAGTTCGCTCCATGCAGGATTTTGAGTGCAGTTGAAGAGGAGGTAAATGGTGGAAATTGTAAATATTCAGTAGTTTCCACTGTATTAATCCATCCAATGCATTACTGTGAGGAGACTTCACTGTCCACTACAGGCTCCACTATCAGCCCTATCTTTTGTCCTCGCGTACTGTCCTTTGTACTGTGTGTGAGATGGAGTCCGTTTTTGTTGGTGTGTGTGAGTCAGGGTGGGTGAATGTTTTGCTGCCTGGATAACCATGTGCAATATTTATCATAGGAGAGAGAACGAGAGCTGGGGGCCAGTGGCTGTCGTTCCATACACCCCTATCTCCTCTATTCATCTATCTTAATTTGCCATTTAGGTCCGTCCAGAGCACAAACTGCATATTCTTTTGAAGAAGTACAAATTATGAAAAATGTATGCACTCATTAACTGTAAGTCACTCTGGATAAGAGCGTCTGCTAAATGACTAAAATGTAAATGTAAATTCATGATAATAATCAATTAGTTCATACAGCTGGACATTAATAAAGGCTTGAGATAGTATATAGATTCATGCAAAATAAACATGGTGGATATGGAACGTTTAAATCGATAAACATACTGTATGTGTTAATACTCAATGTTACATTTAGAGACATTCTGTAATTGCTGTCCAATTCAAAATGATGAGTGAATTGTTAATTGAAGAGGAATGAACATGAAGCCCCAGATACAGGGTGAGGGAATTTAGCAGGGGCTCCGTAGCTGATGATGCATATTTGATGAAGTACAGTGGAGTGGAGATGTGACATTTCAGACTACCATGGTACAATCATCAATTGACATCGAAGCTGACTCTGCTTATCGACAACTGTATTAGCTAACTGTGTTATTTGGGATGTTAATTGGATTCGTTCTGACATTTCTTGATTTTAGTTTTGGATTATTTGTGTACTTGTTTGACATTTTACTGCACTGTTAGGAGCTAGTAAAATAAGCATTGCACTGCACCTGCTATACTATCTGGTAAAATGTGTACACGACCAATAAACTTTGATTTGGAGGGTGGGTGTCGAGGAAAACCCCAATTTCAATTGATCTATTTCAATCAAACATTCTTGCCTCTTTTTAATCAAATCAAAATGTTGCATGTGTTTTATGTACCAAAATGTATTTTCTGCTAGTTGATTGAATTCAGACAAGTTATTCAGTCACAAGGCAACACTGATTTTATTGGACTGAAAAATACATTTTTATAAACATGTGCCAGATCAGTGTCTTTTTAATTAAACAAATATAATAAATATAAAATACTATAAATATTAAATAATAATGGAAGAACCCCTGTAAGACTAGATTGAGACAAACTGTAAACTAAAGAAAAATACTATTTCAAAATGTATGAGAAAAGTATATGAGGTGGATTGCAGACAGATTGGAACCTACAAAATCAAATGGAAAGATAAAAAGTATCTGATCTCTTGCCCTGAGCGGAAATATTCCGAAGAACAACAAACCTGTCATTTGAGTAGACAGGCATTCTCATCTATCCTTCTGTTATTTCAAAGCCTCAAATCTTTATAAAACTAATAAGAGTCCAGAAGTCACTGGTCGAATAAGTGAGTGCTTGAAGAGGAGGTAGCCCCGGTCCTGGAGTGCCTTAGCTTGAATGTCTCTTGTTTTTCAGACCTTCAGTTGAGAGAAAAATACAAAGTGGAGCCATCCTTCCTCTTCTCAGGTCTCACACAGCTTTTTCAAAGGCTGTAGTTTCCTATCTGCCATTATACAGTATTATACAGTAAAGAGTTCTTTATACATTACTTTTACCACATCTCTCAGTGTCTCTTGTCATGAAGTACTTCAATGTTTTACATGTCAGTCTTTTCTGAGTGGCTGGCAGGCAGGGTCGTCTTCAGTCATGTCACTGACCAGTCTAAAGCAGCATAGCTCCACCATTAGTACAACCATGTTCAACCCAACTTGTTCCATTTCCCTATTCAGTGTGACAGTGAAATGAGATGATCAGTGCAGTCTTATTCTGGGGAATCTCAGGTTGGGGGTCTCACACTGCAAACACTGTACTGCAAGCACTGAGTGAGCTGGTCTGGTCTTTAAGTCCAAGGATGCTGTAGGCGATTCTCTTCATATGACCTGGTAACCGCACGCCAATGTTCCTGATGTCCCTGAGAGAGAAGACAGATAAAGAGAGGAGTTGTTAGGGAAACGTTTTTCAAATTAAAACCAATTGGTAGCACATGAACATAAAATATTATTGCATTTGCAACTTCCTACTTGGACATGACACAGCAAAATATTCAAAGTCATATATTCCGTTGGAGCCGAGTACAATTATGTTATTGAGGGTGGGGCAGTGAGGAATGGTATGGTGGGAATGAGATGGGCGGGGGGGGGGGGGGGGGGGGGGTTGAGTGCAGCATTCAGTGAATGAGAGTGTTGCATTCCATCGATGAGAGTGTGGCATACCGGACAACAAATGCTTAACAAAGATCTGAATACTCTTACTGTATGTTCAAATGTGGCAGGGTGCCAACTAAGCCCTGCAATGTGGTGAGGATAATGCATTTGTGCCATGTGGTTACTGAACATGTCTGTAGTACTTACTCATGCCTCATGGCCAGCACCTGCTCCATGGTTGTGATTCCAGCGCAGGCAAAGCTCTCAGTGTACTGGCTCATCTTGATGGACTCCAGCCATTCCGGCACGGACCTGAAGGGCGAACCGTCACAGCCACTGGTGCTGGGGAGGCGGATGGACACACTGTGTGGTAAGAACAGTGAAATATATTGGTAAGTAAGCGTTATATTCACAGTATGTGATTGAACAAGATAAACTGTCAAGTCCAGGGGAGATCAGCTTCATTCATTGGCATCTTACCGGGGATCAAAGTCAGCGATGGTTTTCAGAGACTCTGGGCTCCGGAGCAGTTTGTCCAAGATGTTAACAATGTCAGGGAACCGGGGTCGTTTGGAGCGATCCTGGAGCCAACACTGCAGCATCAGCTGGTAAACGGTGGATGGACAATCCATGGGTGCCGGCAGCCGGAAGGCCTCGTTAATTGCCTTCATCACCTGAGGAAGAGGAGGCAGAGGGGTTTAGACCGTGTTCTCACAGATCTTGTGTTTATGATATAGCCCACTGTTGTCTTAAGGACCGTAGGCCAACAGACTCCAAGAATATGTTTTGTGTTAACTAACAGTTTTATGTGAAGAGGACTGTGGGAACTATTTTGACTTAGAGGCCCTGAGTGGGTTGTTTTAAACACTATCCACCCAGGATAAATACCCAGAGGTGATGCATCACAGAGGCCTTGTGTTTAACCAAGCCTACAGCACTCTGTCATTTCCCTAAAACGTGACAGACGTGACAGATTAAGCATAGGACCTACCTCATGGTTGCTCATGTCCCAGTAGGGTCGTTCTCCGAAGGCCATGACTTCCCACATGACGATGCCGAAGCTCCATACGTCGCTGGCCGAGGTGAACTTCCTATAGGCGATGGCCTCTGGGGCGGTCCAGCGGATGGGGATCTTCCCTCCCTGAAGGAACAGCAACAAGAAGAAATCATAAGAATGAGACTGAAGGGAATGTATTCACTAGAAGCATGTATTGCTATTACTAATATAAAGGCTTAGAAGGCTCACTGATGGCATTATTTATCAGTTGTTCCCCATAGTATGTAAAGACATAACTAGGCTACAAATTGCATAGCACATTGTAGATTATGATACCCCCACTCTGTTCCCATACATTAACATCAGTACTATGGAAGCTTGACTCACGCTGGTGGTGTAGGTGCCCTCCGGATCATCTTCCAGCACACGGGACAGGCCAAAGTCAGACACTTTGCACTCAAGGTTGCTGTTGACCAGAACGTTGCGGGCAGCTAGGTCTCGGTGCACGTAGCTCATGTCAGAGAGGTACTTCATGCCCGCCGCGATGCCACGCAGCATGCCCACCAGCTGGTATGATGAAATCTCCCCATCATGGTCCTTTAGATAGTTGTCAAGTGCCCCATTCTCCATGTATTCCGTCACAATCATGGCATGCTTGACTGCTTGAAGAAATAAATAAAAAGGGGCAATTTTAGTTCTTCATGTCAACAAAAGCGGCACAGTGGATAGGAGATGGGAGATATGGATGCTACTAGACAATAACTAACAAATAACTATTCAGTGAATGAGTAGAGGATCAATCCGTAGTCAGTCAGTGGCCACGCCCCAAATGACACCCAATTCCCTTTAGTGCCCATAGGGGTCTAGTCAAAAGTAGTGCACTATATAGGGCATAGGGTGTCATTTGAGACGCTACCAGTGTCTAAGAGCAGGGACTCACACTTGGTGACGACTCCCTCCAGGCGAATTATGTTCTGGTGGGAGAACTGGCCCATGATGCTGGCTTCACTCAGGAAGTCCTGCCTCTGCTTCTCTGTGTAGCCTGGCTTCAACGTCTTGATGGCCACCGCCACCTCTCCTCTCCCTGGAGCCTTCATCAGACCGCGGTACACCTCACCAAACTCTCCTGAGAAACAGAAACACACACAGAGATTAATACTAATACATCATCTTAGGGTAGGGGATCAGAGAGATATGTTCAAAATATTACTGTAAACTGTTTTGACATTTACCTGCTCCAATTACTTTTTGCTTAGTGACAAGACTGGGATTAATCTCACTGGCAAACTTCAGGATAGCTGTGTTGGGGTCCTCGTACATGTGTGGGTCAACGTAGGTCTTCAGGGGCTTCAGTTGATCTGAGGAAGTGTGAAAGACAATTAGTGAAGGCGGTGGAGATGGGAGATCATCTCTTTGGTAGGGCACATCTGTCATCTAATATAGGTACATATTTCATGGGTGCTGTGGTTCTTACCTGTATTGGAGAAGTAGGGGTCCTCTGATCTCTGTCTGTGACGGAATTTCAGTCTCCTGTTAGGAAGCACAGTAACTATTAGGGTTGGTCAGACAATACGCAATGTTAAGACATTCATATTAAGGCATCAATAACTAAATAGCCTAGAGACCCATGAGCGTGCTTCCTGTGGTGTCTAGACAAGTTTAGCTAGAGACACGACGTGGCTTTTCATTTCTTCTATCCCCTCTCAGGGTTGAACAGTGTCCATCATGCTTTTAAAACCCATTTTATCACAGGCAGGCTGCCGTATCAGGAAGGGCAAGGTCATCTTCAGCCACAGACTCAGTCAGCTCCAGATACAGTTTTCAACAGCTACTCTGGCTATTACTGATAAAACCATCTTAGAGATGACATGGCATTACATTCTCAATCAGCTCTGGCCTGTGAGCCACTCATAATCATATACTATCTTAGGACAGGGGGATATGATAGCAGTAGTGTGTTCTAACCGTTTGTGTAGCAGTAGAACGACTACGACAACAAGCAGCATGATTCCTCCTCCTACTACAGCTCCCATGACCACCGTGGAGTTGTTCTGGATCTGAGACTCCGCTGAAATACAACCACAAAGAACACAGTTAGACCACAACACACTCAAATGGCAAAAAACATATTGTCTGGATGTTGGAGAAAAAGATAGTGTGGAAACGAACAGTCTCCAGTTTCTAGGGCACTTACCAATGGGCAGGGTCTTGAACTCATGCTCCATGCTGTAGCTCCCTGGTTTTCCCTCTGGGCTGAGAGCCTGGACTCTGAACACGTAGGCCGTGCCAGGGGAGAGGTCACTGATCTGCACCGAACTCTTCTCAAGAACCAGGACTGTGTATGTAGTGACATCACGCTCACTGTCGTCCTCCTGCACGGGACAGAGAGAGAGAGGAGCACTGAGAAGGGATTCACTATAGAGATATACTAATACTATTAGATATGCTGTGTTTCATGTTGGACTGACATGGAGAGATAGAAGAGAAAGCGAGAGGAGTGAAGTGTGCCTATGTCTGTCTTACCTTCCTGCGGTACATGAGTTCGTAGCGGTGGTTGATGTGGGATGGTGCTCGGCGGGACAGAGCCCAAGACAGAGACAGAGTGGTGGGGCTCTGCTCATCCAGACGGATGGACGTCACCTTGGGGGGATCAGTGAAGTGCAGAGCGGTGGTGATGGTGCTGCTGGGTCTCTGGCTGCTGTACTGGGACACTCCGCTGCGGGCCTCTACAGTGAACGTGTAGTTGAGGTGGGGTTCCAGCTCGCTGACAGTCACCACAGTGTCCTGGAGGTCCGTGGGGCTGGGCTCGAAGCGGATCTTCTCCCCACAGGGCACACACAGGGCCCCGGCGCAGCGCTCACACACCACGCTGTAGCAGATGTCCCGGCGGTCTCCTGTCACCAGCGGTGGGCTCCAGGACAGCTGCAGCCTGCCCTCCGCTGACAGAGTGGTGGAGGCCAGGTCACGAGGAGCACTGGGCGGGGCTAAAGGAGGAGGCAAACAGTAGACAGAGTTATTATGAGACATTCCAACATGCTAATACACCCAATGAACAATACTCAGATCCCTCTATCAACCATGATGATGATATAAGACAATGTATTGTATGAGGGTATGAGGTAACCATGGGTTGGACACAGAATCATTGAAGGAAAGGCCATAGAAGTGGCTAACCCTTTGTTAGTGATCCGCCTTGCTGTAGCCGACTATCTGGCCATGGTTCTTACCAGAGCAGGCTGACGTAAGAGGGTCTGATGGGGAGCGGTAGAATCCCTCCATACATGGACACAGGGGGGCGCCGGCTGTAGATGGCTCAGTATTCTCCGGACAAACCTTACAGGACTCACTGGACATGGATGCTTTATAGGAGCCTGGCGCACACGCTGAAAGAGAAAGGAGGGTGCTTATTAGTTCTAGTATTCTATGTATAGACACACACAATGGGACAAGAGTGATTCAGTTACAATACAATAAAACGGTATCTCTGTCAGTGCCCTGGGGTTTGGAAGGAAACTCAGGTTGTGGTTAAATTGTAACCAAACCTTTGTATTTAAACAGAATGGAATAGGATTTTCCTGACGATTTGCTTCCACTTGTCCTTTTCAACTCAATTTCCATCCTCAAGTCACACTGTCAACTGGATGCCATGGAAACACTAAATTCAGCAGATAATCACTCTGTCCTTCCCATCCCGTTTGAACTATAAAATCAGCACTGTGAATGCAGATGTGGTTATTGTTTGAGGAGCTTGTGGGGGTTAATGTGTATGTGTGTGTGTATATGTGTGTGTGTGTGTGTGTGTGTGTGTGTGTGTGTGTGTGTGTGTGTGTGTGTGTGTGTGTGTGTGTGTGTGTGTGTGTGTGTGTGTGTGTGTGTGTGTGTGTGTGTGTGTGTATTGGACAGAAACCAGGATGCAAGGAATGCAAGTATAAAGTTTTGCTTCCTTCCTCCCTTGCTTCCTCTGATGGCAAATGACAACATGCCAGGATGGAACAAGGGGAGAGGAAGTCTGGAGGAAGAACTGCTAGAGGGGAGATGTTGTAGACCGACCGTGTTGTTGGAGCCTAAACGCACGTTTTTTGTGTGGGATCGATGGGAATGAAGACTGTTTACTTTAAGAACATGTAAGAATGGCTCCTTTGAGCTATCTCCTCTCTCTCCCTTTATTCTCATGTCTCCCCAGGGGATCAGTCTTTCATCTGGCCTCTATAGGGAAGAGGGTGACCTGTGATGGACAAGAGGGATCTGCCGGTGACTTAACCACTATGGCCGAAGGACCTTTGCGTTACAACCAGCCCCACAATAGAAGAATGGGGACAAGTTTTGAGTTTGAGTAGGGGGGATTGAGATGAATAGATGGATGTATGGGGGATGGGGTTAGGGTCTAAAGTACCAACAGAAGTTCTCTCTGGGGAGTCACCCGGGGAGTGTGGGGGTGTATAGGGCCCCTCACGCATAAGAAAAGGAGGCCAGCTTATTTCATCTGGAGAAGGAGCAGCAGGACTCCTGTCACGTATCAACGCACCCCCACCCCTATTCATCTATTGTGACTGGGATTGGATTGAGTGGTGCCATAAATAAATTGCGTTTAATCATTAGAGCCCTAAAATGGTGGCATGTGCGCTGCATATATCAGTGGCATGAGAGAAATCTTTCAAGATCACCCTGGGAATGTTAAAATCTCAGTGGGTAAAACTTAAGCGGACTAAAAAGTATTTGAAAGATATTTGTGTTATTACACATGTACTAATGTGGTTGTTTGTTATTGATGCATTGTGTTAAGAGTGTCATTTTTTAAATATTCTTACAAACTAAGGACATGAAAATATCTGACTCAAATAATGCCTCACTAAAAGTGGGATCTTGGCCTGAAATAATTCCTCACATTGTCCTGGTCAATCTCTTTATGTGCGGTGGTGCTCTTTATGAATGAATGGAGTTCTAGTGGCAGTAATGCTTCTATTAATTGAATATGTGTTTTGCTCTTTGTGTCGGCCCATTGTTCTAACGAGTGGGAACAAGGATTAAAGAGCTCGTTGTGTGTGTTAACGACCGGATGAATGGAGTGAAGCAGGGCATGTCATCCTCTAAAAGCTGTCCTGTTGCTCCACACTAATCCTCTTGACTAAATTACACTCCACACCTAAGTAAGCACCCGGCGGTCCCATGCATCTAACTAACCAACCTCTCATGCGACCACCAACTATCCACTAACCACTAACTCCCCTCCTTCAAGACTTCACACAGAGTCACAGACAACCTGCTTATTTGAGTCAGCCTGGCCCAACATTCCCCTTTAATTCCTCGTTCCCAGCGGATCTTCTCTAGAGGACCTTCAGTGAAATCTCATAAATCCCTTATCATGGACAGGAACGTGTTTCTGCTTGACTACACAGAGAATTAGGATATGACTCAGTGTCATGAATCAGTGTAATAATTAACTGAACAGGTTTGTCATGTCAACCCTTTTTGGCAATTTTCTGGACTTTAGATTTTTGGCCCAGGGCTCTATAGGTATTATGACAATTGAGTTTCCCCCCAAAATGCCCTAATTTAGTTTTTTGGAAGTATTGGCCTCAGGCTTTGAGGCGTTATGACAACTGCTGTACAATAACCTCTCTCTTTTTTCTTTACAAAGGTGACAAAAACATGTTTCCTGTATCCTGATCACAAGGTTGTCCAGCAGGGTTTGGAATCTGACTTTTTCCTGGTATTAAAATATTCCCTTATCCTCTCCAGGACTCCCTGCCAACTTCCGCTTCAGGTGGGGTTTTCTGCCTCTGCCTCTGCCAACGGTCATGGACCTGGAACATTCCTGAGCTTGGCCTTCCCCCTTCGCCTGGAACTATCGGCCCCTTTGAAGTACTGTTCCTCAGGCTTGGAGCTATGGTGGACTACTTTCTCAATGTTAAGATAAATGGAAATGTCTCTTCTCTGTTGTAAGGTAACGATATGTCAAACTATGAGCTAAATTGGTTACCTGGCCTAAATACTGTACTAATGGTCCATATCCTTCAATCTCAACTCTGGACCTCGAAGCCAGTTCCACTGCAGTTTTTCATTGTTCAGGGACTGATTTAGACCTGGGACACCAGGTGTGTGCAATTAATTATCAGGTAGAACAGAAAACCAGCAGGCTCCAGACCTCGTAGGGTAAGAGTTGAATACCTCTGGTCTATATACTACTGTAATATGGAGTAAAAGAGATACAATCCAACTAGTTCTGCCATTCAAGATGACCAGGATCTCTGGCGGTACAACAAGGGAGCCTCTTGTCCGTCATAAACCACAGACTGACTCAGTATACCCTTCCTGACTGAGATGGGCGTGACGGCACAGTCCCTGTAATCTGTGGTTCACCGCAACCATGGCTACGGGCGCACACAAATAGCTGTGTGGAGAAGACACAACACTCAGGTACTCTTCAGTTGGCACATCGAGTCACACTGCTCTCCTTAGTCAATCAGTACGGGAGGTGACGTGAGGGTGAAATAATTCCTTTCAGAAATCCCCACAGTTCACTGAGCATACAGTCATATAATGTTCCTCCCTCCCTCCTCCCTCCCATGTTTCCTCCTGATAGCTCAACACACCACACCCCGGAATACCAAAGAGATTGCAACTTCCATACAAACAATGTGAGCAAACATCCCATTTCAATTCCAATACATTACCGTAGTGTGTTCTTTCTAGGCATACTCAGTGTCTTTCTCAAATAGAACATTTAAAAATGCTAATGTCTCTCATTCTACCAGTCCCCTCGCCTCAAAAAAACAGACTGGACGTTTTATAAGCATTTGCACATTTTTAAACAACAAACACACTTTTAAGCCTCATGCTTCTATAGTCAGGTTTCCCTTGTCCATAAAACAGTATCCTCCTCACCCACCCCATCCCTAAGTATGAGAGACAAACACAGTGGAAAGAATGTGTTGGCCAACAGCAACAGGTAAGATTACCAGGAGACCTCTTAACCGCAGTCAAAACGTTCAAAGACTTCCTCTATGCTTTTTGTTATCTCTGCCACATTCTCCCAGACAGTCCCTCTCTCTGTTCCTCTCCCATAATATGTTTGGAAATAGTGTTAAAATCCTAAAACTCTGCCAGTGTTATTGCTGTTATAGAGAGCCACTTAATCAAAACAAAACAAACAAAAATATGTCCAAATACCTTCCCCTGTTTTCTCTAAATTCATTCCTATAAATCCTTCTATATCTGACCTAGTTCACCAGAAAAATGCACTGGTTTTGTTTGTGAGGTGTTTGAAATCACTGAAGAAACTACAATTAACATTCCCATGCAGTCATTTCTCAAACCCAGCCAGGGTGGTGGTTAGGCCCTGTGCTCTAAACACAGCTACTGTTTAAAACTAACGCCCAATACAACAGGGCCTGTTTTAGGCCAACACTACAACAGGTAGGGGGTTGGGGTGTGTGGAGAGATGCATTATTGGGGTGTGTGGAGAGATGCATTATGTGAAGCCTGGCTGTAGTCTTACCTTGGCAGGAGTCTCCGACAGCTTCATAGCCTGCGCGGCATTGGCACTGTCTCACGGGCACCACCCACTCTCCCTCAGCTGTGCAGTAGATGCGTGGGGTGTTCTGGCTCACGGCGTTCTCCACACATGTTCCCTCCACCTCCCTCAGGGCGTCCGCCACCGTCTCTGGGAAGGCGGCCAGGCTCTGCACGGTGGACGGACACGTCTTGTAGTACACTCTCACAGAGAGCAGTGCCACACACGCCCCCATGTCCTGGAAGGCCAGGTAGAAACCCTTCCTGGATAGAGGGGCCACTGCCCGTGTCTCCACATTGATCTTCAGCGCACCGCGGCCTCTCGTGATTTCGTCCGGCGCGATGGTGGCCACTTTGCGGAACTGGCCCTTACGGAAGATGGTACCCACGTCAGCATCAGCCTCGGACATGTGCAGGTTGAAGGTCTCTTTGCAGGCGAGCGAGGCGCCGTCGAAGGTGTTGCAGTCCCGCATGACGAAGCGCAGCTCCACAGAGACGCGGGTGGTCCCTGGGCGCCGCTGGATGAAGGTGGTCCGGAGCCAGTTGTCCTGCTCACCCGCGTCGATGTTACACACACTGTAGGTGTAGAGGAGGGAGCCATTCACCACTGTCTGAACTATCTCCCACTGAAACAGAGAGAGAACAGAGGTTTAGTTTAACACAATGTACAGGACAAGGGCCACTGTTAGCAAGACACAAAAAGTGAGGGAATGAGGGGGGGGGGGGTTTAAGAGAATTACAATAACGTTAAGGGGGTTCTGTTCTCGTCAAGGATCAATTTTCTGTTTTATCCATGAAACCACTGTTTGCCTGCTGAAAAGCCTATAAATGCTCAAGCTTAATTTCCTGCTACTTTTTTCCACACGCCAGGGAAGGATTTGATCTGGACATGTGCCGTGCTCACTACGTGGGTGGTTTCCACAAACAGATGTGGGTGCCTGTGTGAGGCAGACATAACACTAAAACCAATACTCTTTATACTCAATACCAAGCATTATGGCAGTTAAACGTTTTTTTATAGGCGCATGGAAAAGACATGGCAGTGATATTGGCTGCAATTAAGTCTGTTTTAAGAGAGACAAAATAAGGAAATGCTTGCCTGGTAGCAGTATTTAAAGGCATCCATTAATTAAGCACAGGGCTTTAAAAGAATATCCATCATTAATTATTTTAACACCTCAGACGGCTTCCATAAAGGCATATTCATTGGCTTTATTCCACGTCTGTTTTGTGGACTTGGGACAACAGTAGGAGAGAAACTCAGAGTGTGTGAAGGAAGAGAAGATAGATATAGATCAAAGACAAGGACAATGTGCATTCTTAAAACTTCCACTCCAAAGTCAAATTGAAATGTGTTTCAAAAGTTTGAGGAAGTTTGGTGAGAATGGATAAACATCATAAAATAGGGGGAAATCCAATAGAATGCATTGGACGAGCTGTAAACCTCATGGTCACAAAAGAAAAGCAGTCTGCACACTGCCACTGACCACGTCCTGTTGCTTTTTTTAGACACTCAACCACACAACTATAGATAGAGGGATGCCTCTCTCCCACACAACCCATCTCCCTTCATTTCTCATTCCCTCAGTCTTATGTTCCACACTGTCTGACAGGAACCTCCCACATTTATATCGCCACTTTATAAAAAAAGTACTGTAGGAATTATAACCTGTTGGCTCTATGCAAGAAAATGTACATTCAGATGCAGCTCTTAAAACCAGTGAAGGCTAACTTTGTGAGCTGCCAATCATTCCATCTTTCCCAGAAAACTATTCTGAAGGAATGAGAGCGGAGAAAATAGCTTGCATTCTATTCCTCTGGAAAGCACAAGTTATGCTACTTAAAATGTGGCTTGGAATCAACATTGTGTGACATCTAGCCTATGTTTACCACCATTTGTGTACTAGTAGGGGAAATACATCTTACAATCAATACACTTTTTTGAGGCCTAATCGACCATCTGGTTAGACTACAGCAATTTCTCACTTTATGATATAACTACTCACCCCTTCTTCATGTGGCCAGGGCAACCAGCCCAACTCTCCCCCAGAAGCTTTCATATCCAGCAACACCTCTACAGAGAGACAAATAGAGAGCACTATTAGTAAACATTCTTAATTCATATGAGGACATAAGGTGTTTATAAGCAATTGAACATGTGTAATTAGCAATGTAATTAGCAATGGACAAGTAATACTACTCTACAACTGGATTTTCAAAGTGATTTAGTTTCTCTGAGCCAACAATTATTACAGTATCCTGCTAGAAATAGCCAGAACTAGATTCACCGAATAGGTCCAATATCATGCCATCCACGGCTTTGAAGAGGACATGCCCTGGCATGACAAACCTGATCAAATAAGCTGTCAACTATTAATTATTATGTGTTTGGATGAAGAAAGCTGAGAAAAGCGTGGGAAGTTAAAAAGCATGATAAAGGGAGTGAAAATAGTTGGGATCGTCCCTAAGAACCAATGCAAGTCCGACACAGCCTACACTCCTATCTCCCCTTTCTTCAGGACAAGATCCTGTCTACTCCAATATTGAAACTAAAAGCTTCTTAGAAGTTATAACCATGCAGAGTAATATTCCTTCTTTAATCATGATCAAATACCAATATTACCTAGTTTTATAAATGAAGAATACTGAAAATGATCATTACTGCATGTTTGAAGTAGCCAAGATAGTCTACACATCAATTGTTACATTTCTAGTGTTGATTCAGGAGTTAAATTCACTCTCAGTTGTGTAAAAGAACCCCCAATGTTAGTGTTAATAACCAGAGTAATTGTTTTACACTGTGGTGAGTAAAACAGTCCGATCAAAACCATGCCCATCATTATCATATTTCCCAGCATGCTCTACTGTGGGTAGATTTTTGGGGATTGTTTTTAATATCTGTATTTTTGCATGTACATTGGTTGATTTATGAATGTTATGCTACACAAAGCCAAAGATATCCGTTAGTTTGATTTATTGCACTCATTACTGAAATGGTTGTTCCAGTTTAAATGGTTTAGGTAGTCTCATTTATCAATTTCCATTATCTTGAGTCATTCTGAATGCAGGCAAATAAAAATTACAACTGTTGAATATTCTAACTATGTCTGGATTCCAATAGGAATTACACATCACTTTGCAAGCCAGCATAATTTACATTTTAGTCATTCTTATCCAGTGCGACTTACATGGGCAATTAGGGTTAAGTGCCTTGCTCAAGGGCACATCGACAGATTTTTCACTTAGTCAGCTCGGGGATTAGAACCAGCGACCTTTCAATTACTGGCACAATGCTCTTAACCACTAAGCTACTAAGCTTAACCACTAAGCTACCTGACTTGCAGGCCTGATGTGGCCTGTAACGCAGGAGTTTCCTAACACCACTGAGTTAGGATAAAACTAGGCCATCAAAGTAAGGTATATGTATGATATATGTAATGTATATTGTCAGAGTTGAATTGTAATAACATTCACCCACAAACTCATTTGGTGAAAGACATTTTAAAAGAAAACATTCAACAACCATGTCTGTGTCACTAACAAATACATTCATGGGTGGTAACTCTACAATTCACCCCCCAAAAAAGGCACCCTGGGAAATATGAAAATGTGTCTTTCTTCCATAAACCATTTCATTATATTGATAATATAATATGCCATTTAGCAGACGCTTTCATCCAAAGTGACTTACAGTCATGTGCACATTACTTTTTTACATATGGGTGGTCCCAGGGATCGAACCCACTACCCTGGCATTACAAGCGCCATGCTCTACCAATTGAGCTACAGAGGACCACAGCTGTAGCCCTCTGTAGAGGGCTTTACTCTACTCCAGAGTAGATTGAAATACTAATTAGTTCACTCCAGTGTATTGTGAATTTCGTACAGCCAGTCTTAATTTTCTACTCTGTATAGGGTTACAGAAACACTGTCTAAATGTTAACATTTTAACACTTTTTAAAGTGTGAAAATCACTTTGTTGAGAGTGGATGCATATACACACTGCAAAAGTGTTAAAATTAACACTACAGCGAGTTTAACACTTCTGATTTTGCTGTGTACAATTTACTGACTTTCTTTTCTTTAAGTCAACAAAGGCTAATTCTTAGACAATTTCTAGAGAACTTACAATAATCTTAATCAGGAAACTGAACAAACCGTACATTAAATATTGTTCAATAGCCTATGGAAGGGGTCTTTCCCCATATTGACAAGTTATCATAGGAATAAGAATGCACTGAAATGGAAATAAAAAATATTGGAGGAGAAAAGCTGAAGTTACACTGTATTAACACTGTAATATACACAATACTATTACAAGAATGCCATGTCACAACCCAATCCCACAACTCATAAAATCTCACAACCATGTGGGGCCACAAAGCAAAGCTCTTTACAAACCCATTTTAAAACGAAAAATATTCTACTTACGTTCTTTCGATTGAAGAGTAATAAATACATGGTTAATAAATACATACAAAAACAAAGAATAACAACGAATACGACGGAAATCCATTTCTTTAACTTTGACGGGAATTCCTCTGTGTGCGGATCTCGTAATATCGCCGAATTTCTGTGAGCGCTATCGTCTACTGCCCTTGGTACAGCCGAAAGTCCCATTGAGAAACATGTGGCGTCATGAGCTCCGCCTTTGGAATGTGGGCCCAATCCATATATGGTATGCTGAAGGGGTAGGGTCAAGTCATTAGACTCTGTACTACCTGCGCAGAGAGGATGTGTATTCAGTTAAATGACTGTAGGCTATCCCTCGAACATTTTGCTTTTTGATGAAATTAACAATAGTGTGCTGTCTTTTTGTACATACACACACACACACAAACAGACTATTCTGCCCCAAAATAGTGTTGATTGAATATGTATTATATCTGTATTATATTCTTATCAATAGTAATAACATGATTTATAACATGACAACTTGTCTTCTCACCTACTATTAGTACAGTAAGAGAGAACATGAGAGTCAAGAAACCATTGTTTTTTTCTTATGATCATCTTGGCATGTGTTAGAATTCTGAAAAATTAGCAAACTGGAGGACAGACTTACAAATAGCTGGAAGAATCTTCAACAATTCATCTTTCCCACGCTAGGAAAGGGAGGGGTCAAGTGGGGGGTGGACTGGTATGAATATATGACTACTAATGAGACAGTCTTGATAAAGAACCTCAGAATTTGGGTATGAATATAGGGACACAAAAAAGGCATGAATAATGGCATCACCTAGCAACTCTTATCTGAAGGAATTTCAGAGTCATGTCCTCTTTGTGGAGCTGCGTGTACTTGGACAGGAGAGCCCCTTGAGCTGAGAGCCAAACACAGACAGCCATCCTCACAAAGACATGGAAAAATCAACTGAAGAAAACAGATATTGTCTTGTCTTATGTTACCATACATGGACATGAATCATACAACAGATGGAATAAACATTGTTGGGTAAAAATTGATTAGCAAGTTAAGTGCTCATTGGACTATAATAGTGTATTTTGGGCCGTGCTTGAAGAATGCAGACTGTCAGTCATTACACCAGAATGCATATATAACATGATTCATCCCTGTTACGACGCACCATAAACACACATGGAGGTCCTGTTGAGCTCACTTGATAGAACATGTAGAGAGAATAAGAGCCTGTATATCATTACTAGGCAGGTTTACATTGACCCAGGTTTATTAGACAAAAGCAATGTCGCAAAATGTTTTATTGCGAAATGTGTAATGAAAACGGTGGATATAGGAGATATTTTCTGAAGATCTACAACATTTTTATCTGTTCGACAGGGGTGGATTTTTCTTTTGTCAAACTTTCTTTATTGCGACAAATGATGATGGAAACAGTGTTTTTCAAATAGATTATGATTGATAATTTGAAGGTGTGTGTGTGGGGGGGGGGCACATGATGTCATCACATCAATTTTTCAACTTTTAAAATATTATTTGTATTATCTCAACCAGGACGCATGATGTCATCACATCCATTTTTCAACTTCTAAAATAATGTTTCTGTTCAAGAATGACTGAATTGCTTCACCTTGCTTTTCTGGTTGGCTGGTTGGCTGGCAAATTTCACCATTCAATTATTTCAGGTCTACATGAGTGAACGTTTCACCATGGCACAGACTGTGGCGATATGTTGGCACATGAATGATTAGAATATGGCAAATATTAGTCCATTATTGCATTTGATCAATGCTGGCTTTCGTGGGCTACCTGAGACATGAAACAAATAGGTGGGAGGGCATACAGGTTGTCGCCAATTTATTAATGCACAATTTGCATAAATGGGTAATGGAAACTCTTCAACCACTTCAGTTTTATTCGACACTGTAGGTTTTTGCGCAATGTTTTTTTGTATGTGTGTGACGTCATTAAGTCCAGCTGTTTTTACTGGTCCCAAGATAGTTAAATGCCAATGCACCATCTATTTCTAAATGTCGACAAAAAAATCCCTGGCCAAGTTAATGGAAACATAGTTACAGCCATGTTTAAAAAATCTGCATGCACTTTTTTCTTTCAAACAAGTGTCATTTCATTGGGAATGATTAATGAGATGATTCAAAATTTAAAAAATGCAGAGATTGATTAACTTTGAAATGTGGACCTTCCATGCATATGGAGAAAATTGCATCTGAGCATTCAGAAAAGGCTTCTAGTTATTTTCACTTCAGTTTGCAAGATGTTATCTGTTTCAAGTATGGAAATGTTCAGATACTGAATGAGGTGGTTTGTGTTGTCAGTTTGTCAGTGGTGCCAGAGAGGTGTCAAAGGTTAACACCCTCTGGAAGTATGCAAATACATTACAGTATGCAAATACCATTATAATACATTCTTCTTAATCCTCCTATGGAGCATGCGTCCTGGTTGAGAGTGGATGGCTGGCCACAGAAGAGTGTTGAACCCCAACCTCCCCCGGCCGGTACCCATCCCACCCCCCTCTCTGCTGGTTCCATGCTTCTTTGGGATCTGCCAACACAAAAGTACTTCACACTGGGGGCTGGGCCCGCATTTCGAGGGTCAGCGAACAGCGGCAGCATCAACACCATGTCATTCAGCCTCTCCCACCCCCTTCTTTTCTTGCACCTCTCATGCTATCAGCAAACAGAGAGGTGGAGCACTATTGTGAAGCTACTCGGATTGTGTGTAATGCCCACATGAATGTGCCTACTGTTTTTCACGGTTCTCACGGTTAGGGCGCCCAGACACATAGTTAGTCAATGATGAAGGTTTGCCAGTGTGATGAAACACTGAATTTAAGCCCCCGCCTCTGTCAGTGGTTTATATTAAGAGTTTGTGCTAGTTTCTGAATTCTCTTTAGCCATTGTTAAAGGCCCAGTGCAGTCAGAATCGTGTTTTTCCTATGTTTTCTATCATACTGTACAACAGCTGATGAAACTAACACCGTAAAAGTTTTTATTTTTATCTGTGTTATTTCCTGATCAGGGCCGTAACCAGGGTTTGTGTTTTAGTGAGGTCCGGATGCAGTAAATGAGCTTCAATTTCCCCCCAAAATATATTCTTTTTTACTTTTTTATGCTATTTGGTGAATAGCAAAAACAAGCAAAAATGACCCAGCCATTATCACCTTGGCTGCTGTAGGTTCATTCACCTTAGTAGATCTACAAACACGAATCCCAGCCCTTATTTTAAGTGTTTCTAAAATCCCTGATGGGAAAAATGAATGTTGGAAAAACGATTGGAACCATTTCCCTGTTTGACAGGTAGGTTTTATGGGTATTATGACACCTCCACTGTGGGGCTCTATTGCAGCCTGCCTCAGCCTCACCACTGAGCACCACATCAATGTCTGTCTCAGTAGCCTACTCTCTGTAAAGCAACATTATTATGAGAACTTAGTAGCTCCGTTTAACATTTGCTTCTTACTTCATCCTTCTAGCTGGCTAATACTAGCCAGAGCCCTTCAACGTTATGCAGTAGAAGTATCTGCCGGTAGCTAGCCACCTGACTGACATATCTATAAGCAACTATTTACCAGGTGTGCATTCATTCTCAGAGAGTTTTTGTTTGTTTAGGGGATGTCTGTAGACAGTTTAAAATTGCCCTTTGTCCTGCATCTCACAAACACACTGTCAGCAGCGTCTAGTTGTCTACTTGAGCCGACTGCGAGCTGGGGTAGTTTGTTTCACGTCTCAGGCCCTCGTTCTGTGCCGCGAGAGGGCAGAGTTAGCCGTAAAGGCAAATCCGTGAGGCGAACATAACGAACAAACCACTGTTCATGACACCATTTTTTAAAACCAAACTACACACAAAGCGTATAAAGCACTAGAGACCAGAAAACCCTATTCACGAGTCACTTGCTCCGGGTCAAACAAATAGGGGCTAGGTCCATGGATCACTACCTCCAGATTTCCATCTAGAGTATAGAGGGGTGTCGCTTACCTGTCAATAAGGACCCCATGTATTCTCTAAGAATGAGAGGAGCTTTGTTTGTCTTACAATGTCCTCTTAAGTTTCTCACACTGAAACCCAAGTCTTTGCACCACCCCTCAAAACACTTCCTCTCACAACTGGAATTTGGGCGGGCGTCTATGTGTTTTACATAGGACTTTTTTTGGAGTGTAGTGTTCAGAAACAAAGGAAAGAGCCTGTTCAGACATGTTTTCACTCCATGGATGCAAGAAACGTGAGTATGCAGTTGAAACACACAAACCATTACTCCGACAAGGGAAAAGTTTGACTATGACTTCACGCTTTGAACAGTCTTCATCACTGCCAGCATCTGATTGGTGGTTAGCAGAATGAAATACTTCTGGAATGAGTGATGGAACTGTTTAGACAAGACGACACATTCATGGTGGGTATCAAGTTTAAGAGTCAGTCCGGGTAACATTTTGAAATCCCATCCTCGGTCAATTGTACAAAATACATAAGCAATGATAAAATAAAGTTTTACATGACAGTAAATCCAAATGAAAGAGCTCTAAAGTAATTCAAGGGTAAAGTGTTTTATTTGAGAACTATATTAATACCACAGTATTACGTTTTCAAAGAAAGGTTATAACACATTTATGAGACATGTATTTTAAATGTTGCACTTGTCCTTTGTATCAGTACCTTCCAACAGCCACCTCCATGTTAAGATGAGTAGCAGTTTGTGTATTTAGGTTTAGCCCCAGCCTCCAGATCTGTTTAATCCTCATCTGGTAATGGATGTAGAAGGGTAGCCAGACCACAAATGAAAGTGAAATGTCATTAGTAAATGTGATATGTGTTGGCCGAGGGGGCCTAATAAAGATGAGACCAACACGTTCATATGCATCGTTTGTGTGCTCAGCTTGGCGATGGCTGCCCTGAAGTCTGAACAAAGGGAAGGAAGGAAGCCAGGGGCTGGGTAGAAGGCCTGGGAGGAGGAGGTGATAGCACACAGTGGCCCTCCAGCATGTGTCTTGCAGAGCTTGCTCAGCCTCTCATGTCCTGGGTTATGGCAGCAACAGCTGGGCTAGCAGGCTCTGCATGGGCCCATTCACTTACAAACACACACACACACACACACACACACACTCAGGAAGCTCTGTCCTGTTTACATTTCACAGTAGAATGCCTACTTGGGAGGGCTCTGGGGAATGACCACTGGACCTACAGCTGTTTGTGTGTGTGTGTGTGTGTGTGTTGGTAGGGTTTAATGTAGTTTTATAAGGAAAATCTGTCAAGTAGCCTTCATGTGGATGAAAGTCAATGTGGAGCTTTCGGGGATACAATTGCATTACATAGTCTGGTAGTTGCAAAGTAGTGCAGGGAGGTTGATTTAAGATTACTAAGTCAAAAACTGTCATGTGGTAACAACTGTGGAAGTATTGAAAAAAGCAACAACCCAGGCCCATAAGGTAACACACACTGTGGTCTGAACAGTCAGTTGGCTGTTTAGCCAAAAGGGCACCTGCTCTTGGTTCCATAGGCACTGAATGATGGCATGAGGCAGCTGATCAGCTGATGCGGTACAAACAGGGGTTGCTGTAGCCACAAATGTTTCAGGATATGAAACCAACATTTTAATCTAGGTTCAGAAAAGGCCTCACTGTATGGCCATTTTGAGTTGATTTCTTAGCATGTAAGTAGACATGGATACAATGTAGGCCATGCAATTTTACCATATTTTGTAATCTTGTTATTTTATCTGTATTATAGGCTATATATTATTCTATAATTTATAGCCTATAACGACTCTCCAAAGTAGCTCATTTGGATATCCAAATAACTGTAGTACACCAGCAGAGGGCAGTCATGTGTAGGAGTTGGAGGAATGAGAGTTCAGAAGACAAGGGCCACAGTTGTCAACTCAGCTGGGATTTACAGGAATCAGAGGAGTCATGCCCATACGGGGCACGTGCTCCCTCAGATTTGTCCTTTACGAAATATATATATTTAATACTACTAGCCACATGCAATTTTATGAAGTTGGCTTTAGCTAGCCCAGATAGGTTCCCAATCTCCCAACCTCATACCTAGTTAACAAGAAGCCATTTCAGGCTATCAATCAAGTTAGAGTAGCTAGCTTGTCTAACTATCTTAGCTGGCTTGCCTGCTGGCAAGGTTGGTAGACTTTAGAAAAGCAAGCAATAACTAAATAAGACTCACATTCCTTTCAATCTTTTACCCAGATTTGAGCAGGGATGCAAAGAAGCAGCGGGAGGTAGGGGTGCTGAAGATGCTGAGGGTGCTTGACGCCCCTGACAGGAATGATGCCAACAGAACAAGGAATTAAATAAATGAAATAATATAGGTTAGAGGGTATACATTTGTCATTATTTGTTTGATCTATAAATAGTGTAATTGAATAATTGACTATTATTGCATAGGCCCAAGTCAAGCACTGGGAAACATACAGTCAACTCCGAAAATTATTGGCACCCTTGATAAAGATGGGCAAAAAAAACTGTATGAATAAAGTGGATCTTCCAGAAAGACGATAACCCCTAGCACACATCAAAATCCACAAAGAAAGTGTTAATTGACCACAAAAAAACAACATTTCTCTGGACTTGAACCCCATTGAAAACCTGTGGTTTGAATTGAAGAGGGCAGTCCATAAGCGCAGATGAAGGATATCAAGAATCTGGAAAGATTCTGTATAGAGGAATGGTCTAAAATCCCTCCCAATGTGTTCTCCAATATCATAAAACGCTCAGTGACGCTATCCTCGTGGGGGGAAGAGTGTCAGAACATTGAAAACAAAGGGGGAAATAATTTTGACCCCCATCTTTTTGAGAAAAAACATTATTACTTGTTAAACAAAATATATTTCTCTGAGCAATTGTATAAGTATAAAATAATATCATTTCCCCAACATTTTTTGCATACAATATAGCGCAATATTTGTATTATTTATTTTATATATATTTATAGTTAAGGTTTATTTTGAATTGTACACATTTGCAGCTAAAAGCTGAATTGCAGCATACATAGGCCTACCTAAGTAAGTAAATAAAATACAAAATATAAGATGTACTATATAAGATGTACTATACAATATTACAGGATTAAACAGTCTCACAAAGTAAGTTATATAGTCTTTTTTGCTCATCTTTATCAAGGGTACCAATAATTTCGGCAGTAACTGTAGATTTGAATGCCATTAACCTCTTTCACAATTAAATAACTGTCAGTTCAGCCGCAAGCAGTGAAGTACGCCTACTACAGGCTACTGATGCCACGATCACAACAACTTGGAACTTGGAAATCTCCAACTTCAGTGTGTTCACTTCAGTGTGTTCAAGACAACTGGGAACATGGAAATCTCCAACTTCAGTGTGTTCAAGACAACTGGGAACTTGGAAATCTCCAACTTCAATGCGTTCAAGACAACTGGAAACATGGAAATCTCCAACTTCAGTCCGTTCAAGACAACTGGGAACTCTGGGAAAAAATTAGCTCCGGCTGGGGAAAATCGTTTTGAAGGTTATCCAACTTGGAATTCCAACTCGGGAACTCTGGCCTCTTTATAGAGCTCTGACTTTCTGACCTGAAGATTACTGATGTCATGACTTGACCTCGTGCACCTGGCTATCCGTAAATAAAATAAAACAAGAAAATCGTGCCGTCTGGTTTGCTTAATATAAGGAATTTGAAATGTTAATTTTTTTATTTAACCTTTATTTAACTAGGCAAGTTAGTTAAGAACAAATTCTTATTTACAATGACAGCCTACCAAAAGGCAAAACGCCGGGGGATTAAAAAAATTATTAGATTTATACTTTTACTTTTGATACTTAAAGCTACCATATGTTACTTTTTGAGCGACCCGACCAAATTCACAAAGAAATGTGAGTTATAGATCTTTAATTCCTGTTGAAAGCAAATCTAAGAAGCGGTAAATCTGTTCTATGTGTGCTATTTCTATGCTTCCAGTTCTGAAGTTTTGTTTTTGCATCTTTTACTTTCTGTTTTGTACACAAGCTTCAAACAACTATATATATATATATTTTTGGTTATGGAAAATATATTTCACAGCGGTTCTCTACACCAGGGTTTCCCAAACTCGGTCCTGGGGCCCCCCCTGGGTGCACGTTTTGGTTTTTGCCCTAGCAGCTGGTTAAAATAATAAAAGCTTGATGATGAGTTGGTTATTTGAATCAGCTGTGTAGTGCTAGGGCAAAAAACAAAACGTGCACCCAGGGGGGCCCCAGGACCGCGTTTGGGAAACTCTGCTCTGCACAATGACTGCTTGTTTTCTCACATAAACTGAAATTAGGCAAACTATTCGAAATTTAGCAACCAGGAAATGGCGGTGCGATTTCTGCATTGTGCATCTTTAAGTATATTTTAGCAATTACATTTACTTTTGATACTTAAGCATATTTAAAACCAAATACTTTTATTGAAGTAGTATTTTACTGGGTGACTTTCACTTTTCCTTGAGTCGTTTTCTATTAAGTTGTCTTTACTTTTACTCAAGTATGACAATTGGGTACATTTTCCACCGCTGAAAAATAGAAGGTTAAAGGCCCAGTGCAGTAAAAAACGTGATTTTCCTGTGTTTTGTATACACAGACTGTCCAGGTTAAATTTTTCCTATGATCCCTTATTGATGTCACCTGTTAAATCCACTTCAATCAGTGTAGATGAAGGGGAGGAGACCGGTTAATACGTTTTTTTTAAGCCTTGAGACAATTGAAACATGGATTGTGGCAGGGGCAAGACAAAATATTTAAGTGCCTTTGAACGGGGTATGGTAGTAGGTGCTAGGCGCTCCGGTTTGTGTCAAGAACTACAACGCTGCTGGGCTTTTCCCGCTCAACGGTTTCCCGCGTGTATCAAGAATGGTCCAACACCCAAAGGACATCCAGACAACTTGACATAACTGTCGGAAGCATTGGAGTCAACATGGGCCAGCATCCCTGTGGAACACTTGACACCTTGTAGAGTCCATGCCCTGACAAATTGAGGCTGATCTGAGGCCAAAGGGGGGTGCAACACAATATTAGGAAGGTGTTACTAATGTTTTGTACACTCAGTGTACATTTCCACACTATGAGGTTGGATTAATACTGTGGAAGGAGGACAGAGTTGACAGAGTGCAGCACTCACTCAGTAGCCTTATGGAGGCAGGTATAAAGCCACTTCCACTATCCTGTGCCCTGGTGGTAGGAAGGCATACTGGTTAGAAATTACGTCCGTTCCCTTTTTGTGTGCCTATTCTTGTCTTTGAAGCTGCTTAGCTCGCTACCTACTATCTTGAAACTCACTGACAACTTTTTTCACTTACTTTTCCAGCCTGTTATGGTTTGTGACCCTGTGTTACCCAGCACAGTGAGAGCCAAGAAGCAGGAGTGGACTGAGCCAGACAGGACTGGTTTTGAGCCAGACAGCTGGGTCCTGGCAGCTGGAAAGAAAAAAGGCAACATGAAGATACATCCAATGTAGTGTATAGTGCAGTGGCACATACTTAACAATCCAATCTACTGTTATTTTTTTCATATCACCATGGTATGTGAAAAGGTTTACAGAGAAAGTACACAAACACCAAAAAAGTCCACTGTTTTTGTTTTAAAGGAAGGTGGTCTCCTTCTCATGCCATACCACAGTATAACTATTTAACACTAACTTTCCATGTTAGCTTATCGAATCGCAGCATCTGAATATTTGTTGAAGTGTATTTCATTTACTGCCGATGTGGATATGCCTTGTTTCACACTGTTTCCGCATATGAATGAGGGAGTTTGATTTGATTAAACTGAACCTGTCTGCACCGGGCTATGGCTCATGACGTGAACGGGCGAAAGCGGTGAGGGAGGAGCGCCCTGCTCAAATATAAATTTAATCTGCGCCACCAGGTCATATTGTCAACAAGGCAGCATGGTGCATCGTTCAGAAACATACAACTAGTTTAAGGCAGATAAAGTACATATGCGTTTTTATCAAGCGCAAACAATTTGCATTTGTTGTAATCATCACTCCACGTGCTTGACATATTTCACTTTGTTTTGAGACAACTTCGCCATGTCACCCGGCTCACACCCAGGCTGCAGCCCGGTTTCAAAACAAATGCAATCACTTTTCACCCGGTGCGCAGCTGCTGTTTAGATGGGCCGTATAACTTTTAGTTTCTTCAGAAAATCTGCAATCAAAATAAACCTATCCCAGCAACCATATTATTTTTGGAAGCCCAAATTATTTCAGAATTCAGGCATTTAAAATGTATTGTTATGCTCAGACCTCTTGACTTAAGGACTAAGGCAGGGGTGTCAAACTCAATTCCTGGAGAGACGAGTGTCTGTTGGTTTATTAGTTTGGAACTCCTCACCTGGTTTTCTAGGTCTTAATTAAACACGAATTCAAAGGAAATAACCCAATAGACACGCAGTTCTCCAGGAATTGAGTTAGACACCACTGGACAAAGGTGTTGGACTGACTCTCCCAGGGAGTCCCAGCCTGGCTACCCATCACATTTGCTTTAGTATGATATTATGCAGTTATACTGTAGATAGAATGATGGTAAACTGATGATATGCAGACATAATACATTACCAGGAGTAGGGTGGATTTCACCAGAATGTCACCTTGGGGAACATCACGTCAAGGTCAAAGAACACCTTATCCGGGTTTGCCAGCCTGGAGTGCGCAACCACCCAAGATGGCTCTAGGTCCAGTGGGTCCTGTCTGGTGTGTCCTGTTTGGTGTGTCCTTTTTTTTTGTTTCAGAGACATGCAGTTGACACCTGAGGTATTTGACAGGGCCGGTCCTGGCCATTCTGCCACCCTAGGCCAGATATTGCCTACAGCAGGGATGGGCAACTCCAGTCCTCATGGGCCGGAGTGGTGTCACACTTCTTCCCCATCCCTAGTCAACACAGCTGATGAAACTATTTACATTCTAAACTGAAGATCATGATTAGTTGATTATTGTAGTCAGATGTGATAGCTGGGGCTGGGGCAAAAGTGTGACACCAATCAGGCCCCAGAGGACTGGAGTTGCCCATCCCTGGCCTACAGTGTCACCTGAAATGTAATTTTAGGAATGCCCATCTATGTGGTAGGCTTACCGTTTGTAAAACACCAAAGATAAAACGTCCGGTCAGGACCAAAAAAAGACGTTGCCGTCGGTCCGTGTTTACTGGGGTGTGGCCTACCATGTCAGCCCACAATATAATTTTATGAATGCCCATCCATGTGGTAGGCCCACTGTTTGTAAAACAGGCAGTTGCATTGGCTTTCCTGTGACTAATCAATTTGGCTATTTAAGCTCTGAATATGAACTACCCAACTTTATCAGGAGGCGTTATCCTGAGCCTATTTGCAATGTGTTTACACAGGGGAAATGCATAAGTATTTTATTTTTTGCTATGATCAGCTCGTAGAAATTGTACAGATACAAACTTGAAACCACTGATCATGACAATTTTGCCCACTGGATGAAACTCCTGGACAGCAGTTGTGAGTAGCCTGATTGTCCATTCCATATTGTCCATTTTTGTCATTTAGCAGACACTCTTATCCAGAGCGACTTACAGTTGTAGCATACATGTTTATTTATTTATTAGTTTCAGTCTCATTACATTGTCATTCATGTTATCTCTAGCCTTTAGGCTACAGAAAAGGCCACATACTCTTTCTACCATATGCTTTATCTGCTACATGATTTATGTTAGATACTTTTTTTGAAAGAATCTTGGTGGAGTGCGGCAGCGATGCATCTCTCCAACAGCACCCTGGAGAGGTGCGCTGAGAATTAACAAGATACATATTTTGCATCCCTGCCTTTCACAATATGGGCACTGCTTATCATAGGGCGGCATCAACAGCCCACTTGCCACTGGTTGAGAGAAATTGTCATTGTTTTGGGGTAGAATTAATTATGTGTGCACCTGAGTGGCGCAGTGGTCTAAGGCACTGCATCGCAGTGCTAGCTGTGCCACTAGAGATCCTGGTTCGAATCCAGGCTCTGTCGTAGCCGGCCGTGACCGGGAGACCCATGGGGCGGCGCGCAATTGGACCAGCGTCGTCCAGGGTAGGGGAGGGAATGGCCGGCAGGGATGTAGCTCAGTTGATAGAGCATGGCGTTTGCAACGCCAGGGTTGTGGGTTTGATTTCCACAGGGGGTATGAAAAAAAATCATAATAATGTAAGTCGCTCTGGATAAGCGCGTCTGCTAAATGACGTAAATGTAATGGTGCAGCGGTAAGGCAATGCAACGCGTCACTACAGACACGGGTTCGATCCCGGACTGTATTACAACCGTCCGTGATCTGGAATCCCATAGGGCGGCCAATGGGATATCGCTATATTGGCTCTGCCCACTATGACTCATTTGTTCACTTTACATTTACATCATTTAGCAGACGCTCTTATCCAGAGCGACTTACAAATTTGAACTACAAGTGGTGGTTTATCTAGGTTTGGTTATAAACATCTTTGTTCATGGTTTTGCTGCGCGCGCGGCTTTGGGGTGGTTCAAATTGCGGGGGATTTTCCGGGAATTTGTGTTTTCGGTCTTTCGCAGCTGCTGTACAGTACGGGCACAGATAGAACAATGAGCTAGTTATACACATTTTGTTACGATGCCTCGAAAGTAATTATCCGGTTAAACAAAAAAAAAGCTCATCTCGTCTGGGTTTGTTGCTGTTAGCTAGCAAATGGGCACGCCATAGACTGTCTGAATGCTATATATCTAACGTGAGGTAGCAGGGATTGAAAGCTAACTAGCTACATCCTATCAAACCTGTCGTCTGGTGTTTGGTTAGCCCGCTAGCTAGTCTGTTATGCTAGCGAGGACGCTAACCGTTTAGCTAGCTAACAAGCTAAACATTTGGTTACCTGTGGCCATGCCAAGCAAGGTTAAGAATTAAGCTAACTAGGCTGTTATGCTAGCAACGATGCTAACCGTCTAGCTAGCAAGCTAAATATTTGGCTAGCTGGCATCGGGAGTATGGGGTAACGTTAGTTACAGCGTGGTGAGGGTGGATTACATTCTTCAACATATAGCTAGATAGTTGTGGCCAAATGACTTTCTACAATTTCTAGCTAGCTAGCAACATTAGCGAAGCTAGTATATATATATATTTTTTTTTTTTTGCAAAGCTAGTAGCACAGTCACATTGGCAAGCTAGCAACATGACATCATTAATATTCTGGAGGCAGTGGAAACGCAATTCGGTCCAGCCCAACCCGGGTTGACTTCAAAGTGCGAGGCTTTAGATACGGCAGTTTTTTCCATATCGAATTCGAGCAAGGGGGTACGCTACAACAGGACTTGCTCTTTTGCGCCATTTCTATTGAGAAAAGACCATAAGCAGGGTTGCTAGGTTGATCTAAATGTCTACACAATGACCACTCAAAACCGGCACACCTGGCCTGAAAACTAGGCCCCACATTTATCCAATAAACTCTTCTTCCATAACGTTAACGAGGGAATTAAGGAATATCGTTTTTCCAACAAGAATAATTATTGCAAGCTTAACATGACATTAAATGAATGTTAATATGTGGCAAGGGAAAATATAATTTGCCGTTATTAAACTCGCCAGATCATTTTCCATCAATAGATGTCGATTTAACTTGTTTGATTGCTATGATTATAAATGAATCCTGTTTGAGCATTTGCATAACTAAAGATAAATCCGACAGGAGTTTGAGTGATGAAAGTTGGACAGAGGATGTCGAAATCTCTGCGCAAGAAACGCTTAAAAATACGAATGTTAGCCTATTTTCTGGCAATTGTGCCATTATGTCCCAGATGTTAAGACTACAAACTGTTATAAATGGCCTATTTGCGAGATTGACTTGACATTTTAATAGGCATAGGCTACTGACTAAAATCTGGGTTTATGATTGTAATTCAACTTTGCCATGGTTTGCTGGGCTAGATGCAGGTAGCATATAGCCCCTGATAGGCCTACATCTAATTTCAGGGAAAAGTCCACAAGGAAAGTGACATTAAATGTGGAGAATGATACATTTGCGATAGAGCTGTGACCATGATTACAATTGATAACTACCAATTGAATCAACTTAACATGGCCATTAATAATAACAAGGCTACAACAGCAATAAATTGAAGTTATAGGCTATTTATTAAATCCGTTTGCCAGCTCCAGGTAGGCTAGTACACAAGTGGCACAAATTGATTTGCAATGACTCCAGCAATATCGTCATTTCAACATATGTATTATATCAAATGGTAGGCTACAGTAGCCTGCAATGGCATATACATTAATAGGCTACTTGATGGCCAACAGATGCAAATGTGTCATTCTCCACATTTAATGTCAGTTTCATTGTGGAGTTTTTCCCCCATAACAGAAGCACACGGGGGAGTTCCATAACTTCCATTAAAACATTTCCCAAGCGCAGCGCTCGAGACCCAAGAACTCAGCATGCGTAAAACTAAGTTTGAATGCAGTTTACTTTAAACCACCTCCAAACGAATTTATCTAAAGTGCGCCAGTTCTAGTGCGTTTATACGTTTTATGGAGAAAGGGTTCGAAATAGGTGTCTCCATAATGACCATCTAAATATCCTACGTTGAAATGGTAAAAAGTTGCGCTGCTGCTCTGTCTCCTCTCACTAATGTGACTCGGCTGCCTGCTGCAGCGCTATCTCAACCAGTGCTCTCAACACACACACCCCTCCAACCCTCCCCATCAGTAGCCCAATTCCAGGAATATCGTGGACATGGCATCCCTGACCATAAGCCTTAAACAGGTGTGAAAACCAGGAAACGAGAAAAAGACAAATAGAGAGAATGGGGTCTTTTTGTAGGTACTAACTCCGCCATGGTTCATTGGAAAATGAATGAGGGTTTTTGATAAACGCCTAAAGTAAGGTCTCCTAGGCCTGTGTTAATTCAGACCTTATTTTATGCATTTATTCCAAACCCCTATTCTTTCCCCATAAATGTATCACATAGGGATGGCTGAACGAACCAGAGATAACTAATTTCCCCCTTTTAGGACTACAAGCTGGCGAGCTCTATAATGAGTAGGCTAGTTATTTATAATGCAAGGTGATTTGTAGGTCCTTCACTCAGTCGGCAATCGCCTGTGTCTGGGAATATTTTTTCATTACAACCTGCACTGTAGGCTGTTGCCCCCTTTTCAACTTCAAACTGCAAACACTCAGCCATCACTTTTTATGTGCAGTTTCAAGTCAACAACCACACTATTTTTTTTCTTGTGACATTTTCAGAAGAATCTTCCTACAGGAAGAAAAATTTAAATGTATTTGCATCCAACCTAATTGTTTGTGTAGGATTCAAATGTAATAGACTGAACAATTATGCTTTTGGATTAAATGTATGGGCTATTTGGGATGGGGCGCATTCGAGCTGATCACTTTAGTCAAGTTGGTGATCATCGTTGGTCACCACCTTTCAAAGTGTGTTGCATTATGGGGATAAAAATTATCCAATTTGCGCCTAGATATCGACTGCATGAACTTGACAAAAATCATGTGATCAAAGGTCATGAAGTTTTGACTGCAGTTCACCAACTTCATTCTGCAGCCATTGCCTGCATTGTGGGAGGCTCTATTGTCAACTAATCTTTAGGGTATTTTTGTTTGACCCACACGAAGGTGACCTAAGACATGACTCAAACAGGAACCAACTTTGGCGCCATTCATGTATTGTAGCCTATACAGTGTATATATACAAATGAATGAACTATTTAATGCTCTCTCTCACTTAGACACAGATGATTTCAGTTTGTGAGTGTGTGATATGTTTACTTCGACATTATAAAGAAACACTTGTATAAAAAAAATGGCAGCAGCGCCGTGTTGGAAAACCACATTAGTGTCCGACTTTCGGCTGTCACAGATGCACCTCCCCCAACTTCATCTCCACTTTCGTCAACAGTCGGTTGCTTGAGCCTCAAACGCGCCCATGGTTTTATGGTGAAGCGCATGTTTTATGCAAACCTCTGATGTCACGTGACTGCTCTAGGAAGTAGCATATATTTTGACACAAATATTGAACTATGCGGTCATTCATCGAACTCGACTTTTGCGGGAACAGGTACGCTACATTTCCATATAATTTTTAATGTTCAGACTATGTTTGATTTAATAGTTTGAGTGAGAGGGATTTGGTATAGAAACTGACTTTATTGTGATTGTAAATTGTCGGAAAAGCTTTTGTTGGGTAACATTGTATGCATCAACGGCATGCTGTAGCTAAAGTAATACAGCTAGCAGGTGGAACTGTCAGACCTATTGTATGGACATGGATAGTGATGGCCATGCACATTAGCGCACATGGTTTTCAATAGGCCCTTCACGTGACATAATGCAGCGGCATAAGCTACGGTAGAGAGGACACTATTCATGACAAGTGCATCATATTTGAGGGGTCTTTTCTTTGTCCCTTTTTGTTTATCAGACAAAATTGAATAATAGTAGAAAATAGCATCCATAAGCTGGCTATTATTGCTTATTATTTATTATTCAAGTTCTATCCTATAGTTTGGATGAAGTGGGTAAAGACACTAGACAGAAGGGATTTGTTAAGTAATTTGATAATGTTGTACTGTTTTGGAATTGGGTGAAGGCTTCAAGGCGCAATACATTTTCACAGGATTGGTTATTATGAGTTTCTACAAAGTTACGTATTAAGGCTTAAAATACTGTATAATTTAAGAATGATACATTTGTGAAAAGCCAAATCCATCCTTTCAGATCATCTGGTGGACTGTGTTGCAACTCTGTAATGTCCTCAGAGTCAACAATGTGAGCACTGTTATTCATCAGGCTGCTCGGGGCTACCTAGTTCGTCAGCACAAAATTATCAATTTAATGATTTGTTAGTGCTGCACTTATGAGTTAAGAGCGGTATACAAAATATGTATGTATAGTATTAGGCTACTTGTACACCACAGATCTATAACTCCAATTTCTATGTAAATATGGTCGGGTCGCCCAAAACGTCTTAAAGAAGGCTTTGGTTACCCAAAGTTGAAAGAAAACGTACATTTATGTTCACACTGAATGACCCAGCCTATGATAATCTTTATTTTTTTTAAATGTATTAGGCTACTGTACATTAACATTGTAGGTAGGTCAACATCCTGCAGTCAGAGCTGTGATCTTGGTTGTTTGGGATAGCACAACTCCCAAATCTTGACTCACCATCAGGCATCAGCTAAAAATGTTAATGATTTAATGAGTGTCCATCCATACCAATAGTATGATTCCCAGGATAATTCAGTGGCAATGACCTTTGTTGTTTGCTGTGTAAACTTGATCGATACTAGACTATGATTTCAGATGTTTCGGTAAAGTTACGCAAACCATTTACGGTAGATGCCTCGTCTGTGTATCTTGTTAATGTTGACTTTACTCCTTTGAATGGGTTCAGTCTAGAAACCAGTGTCTCTCCATTGATCTATTGTCTCAAACCTTGAACCCCAAAACATGTAGGCCTAAAAGGTTCAACCGCTTAAATACAATGAAGGTGGAAATGTGTAGAGAACAGGATTGGCCTGTTATCTACTGACAGAGGAGTTGCCTCTCTTTGACACAAAAAAGAAAGACTTAGATGAACCTATCTTTGACACAGACATGTAGGAGGGTGACGGTGGAGGGGACTGTAGTAGGAAGGTGATGGTGTCCATATGTTGTAGCTCCTGGTATAGCTCAGAGCTGACCGTTTCCACCCACAAACCAAATATGCCACATTATTAAGAGTAGGCTAGGCTGCCTCCCAGAAATCCTGTTTGCATTGGCAGAAAACCAATCCACGACTGCAATCAATGTGTGTTTTTAAGCCGGTGAATCAGCCATTGTGATTATGGGTTAGTAACAACTGAATACTTAGCAATCCAAACCAGGTCTGTAAATCACCTTTTTGAAGTTATTCCTGAGCCGTCTTGCTCTGTCTCTCTCCTGTAGGAGCTGATCTGTGTTGGACCAGAGAATGTGGAAAGTTGTGTGGGCAGCACTGCTGCTCCTGGCCACTGTGTGTGCCCAGAGAGGCTATGCCAAGGAGACCAAGGGAGAACCAAAGGTGGGGCATGTGTCAGTGGTCATAGTGGGAGGTACAGGTGACTTGGCTAAGAAGTACCTATGGCAGGGCTTCTTCCAACTGTACGCTAACCAGGTGAGTAGCGGCTACAGTTTCTCCTTTTATGGAGGAGGCCTGTTGCCCAAGGATAAGGCCACGCCGATCCTGTTTGAGGCGCTAAAGGGAGTGGTCTGTCCTCGGGAGCTGTCTGTGGAGCGCTGTGCCCTGGTGAAGGAGCAGTTTCTGAAGCTGGCTGAGTATTGGCAGCTGAAGACTTTAGAGGACTACCAGGCCCTGGGCAAACACCTGACAGAGCAGCTGAACCAGGAGGGCATAGTGGAGGCAGGCAGGCTGTTCTACCTGTCAGTGCCAGCCTTCGCTTATGCGGACATTGCAGAAAAGATCAACAACAGCTGCAGACCGACCAACGGGGCGTGGTTGAGGGTGGTGCTGGAGAAGCCGTTTGGTCATGATTTCAGTAGTGCCCAACTACTGTCCACTCAACTGGGTACCTCCCTCAAGGATGAGGAGATGTACAGGATCGACCACTATTTAGGGAAGCAGGTGATGTACTAGGGCTCCTTATCAGTCCCCCGTAGACATTCACAGAAAACTTTGCCCTTGAGGCAGATCTTTGTTTTAATTATATTGTTTGCTTTTATACTCAAAAGGTTGTCTCTAAGATTTTGCCATTCAGAAGGGAGAACAGCAAGCATCTGGATCCTATCTGGAACAAGCACCACATTGAGAGAGTGGAGATTGTACTGAAGGAGACCCTGGATGCCAGAGGTACTGTGGTCCCAGAAAACGGACCATTTCACATTTGATGTTCACTTAAGCAAGTGTAGTAACCCCATCTATAAGAAGATGTGATGGTGCCAGTAATATCACCTGTCATGAAGTGTTTGATTTACTCTCCTTTTGTCACAGGTCGTATTCCCTTCTATGACCAGTACGGTGTGATCAGAGACGTGATACAGAACCACCTGACTGAGGTTATGACCCTTCTGACCATGGGGCTCCCAGCCAACCTGAGCGACGTGAAGGAGGTCCTCAGGAACAAGCTGAAGATCTTCAGTGCCTTGCAGCACCTGGACAGGAACTGTGCTACCATTGGTCAGTACCAGACCTACAATCTAGAGGTACAGGAAGAACTGAACAAAACAAAGGAGTATTACAGCCTCACCCCCACCTTTGCTGGTAAGTGTTATGAGAACGTTTGTCTGTAGGAGTTTCGCTTTGAGCCTGTGCATGAATAAAAAAAGTTGCCAGTTGTATAACAGAAGGAATTTGTATTATAATATACTAATAACTAGGGGTATCAGAGTTAATCAGTTAACTCAAGTTAACTTTTTTTGTGATTTTAGTGCACAATGCTTTTTAAATTGTGATTAATCACATTGTCTGAAAGCATTCAAAATACACTGAAAACATCCAAAATACATAATCTAAGGTTAAAAACCACAATGCAATGTCAAAACAAGTTGACATTGAGGTTAGAAAAGTGTGTTTTATCAATTTACCTGATTTTGCTAACCGTTACTTTCGGACAAAATCAAGACGTAAATATGTGCTTTTTGTATAAAATAAATCTTAAATTACAGCTCAATTTGAGCAAATTCAGAATTTGCGATTAATCACAGTAAATCCTGCGATTAACTTGATGAAATGATTTTATCGTTTGACAGTCCTAGTAATAACATATGATACATAGATTATTTGTAGTGATGAAACATACTTTTTGTTTTTCTATTTCAGGTATCATGGTGCATGTTGACATAGCCCAGTACGAGAAAATGCCAATCATCCTGACCTCAGGTAAGATGCTGGATGAGCGCTTAGGCTATGCTCGCATTTTGTTCAAGAATGACATCTTCTGTGTCCAGAGCCATGACAGCGTCCACTGCAAGCCTAAGCAGATTGTGTTCTACTTTGGCCATGGCACTCTGCAGTACCCAGCCATTCTCGTGAGTAAGAACCTGTTCAAGCCAGACCTGATGGACACTGAGTGGAAGGAGGTAACAGAACACAAAGATGTCAGTGTATTAGGTATGCCCATCTCTGACTACTATGTGCTGACACCAACGGTGCAGAGAGAGGCTTATACAGAACTCATTTTGCACATCTTCCAAGGCCGGAAGGACAGCTTTATCAGTACTGAGAACCTGCTGGCCTCCTGGGGTTTCTGGACACCTCTCCTGCACGGTCTGGCCAAAACCTCCCCCCGCCTGTACCCCGGGGGAGCGGACAATGGCAACTTGCTGGACTTCAGACTGTTAGGACGGGAGGTGACCTTCGCCAACGAGGCTGTGGTCATGATCACCCAAGACCACATGGGCGGATCTGGGGCAGAGAGCTTCCAAGTGATGCAGGGGAAGTACCGCAGCGCTGACATGGTGTCTGCCTGGCCCGAGGAGCTCATCGTGCGGCTGGCCGCAGACCTGCAGGCTGCTGCGGAGAATGCGGTAAGGGAGGGCGGCCGCTTCCACCTGGCCCTCTCCGGGGGCTCCAGTCCCCTAGCTCTGTTCCAGAGGCTGGCCCGCCACCACTACTCCTTCCCCTGGAGGGACACCCATGTGTGGATGGTGGACGAGCGATGCGTGCCTCTCACAGAGTTGGACTCCAACTTCCGCACCCTGCACGACCAGCTGCTCCAACACGTGAAGATGCCCTATTTCAACATCCACCCCATGCCTGTGCAGATGAACCAGCGGCTGTGTGTGGAGGAGGATAGTGGAGCGCTGCTCTATGAGAGAGACATCACCCAGCTGGTTAACGCCTCCAGCTTCCACTTTGTCCTTCTAGGAGTGGGCTACGACGGCCACACCGCCTCCCTCTTCCCAGGCAGCAAGCTTGACACCCATGGGGACAGTCTGGTAGCCCTCACCGAGAGCCCAGCCAAGCCTCACCAGCGTATGAGCCTCACCCTCAGGGCTATCAACCAGGCCCAGAAAGTAGGTGTGCTGGTGATGGGTAAGAGCAAACATGAGCTGGTCACCCAGCTCAGCCGAGTCAAGGACAACCCAAAAAAGTGGCCCGTCACTGGGATCCGGCCGACCAGTGGCAGGCTAGTATGGTACATAGACTATGATGCTCTTTTAGGATAGCAAACAGCTGCTTTTGGCTCTGTGATACTGTAGCAATGAAATTATGTTCATTTAAGTGGAAATGAAGGATTTGCTGTAATTGTACTATTTTGCTGAATTTTGACCAAGAATGTAAAGTAATGATAAGATGATTTCATCTCAGGAAAGCAAAGTGGATATGGAAGTGTGTTATTCACATCATGAATCAAGACTAACTATATTTTATTTTGTTGTAAAAACAGTATATTTTCACATAAAGCTACCCATTCCACACAGAACCTACATAGAATAGGATTGTTAAAAGGAGACTTTAAACTGTGAAAGACCAATCATTTTGGTTAAAATCTAATTCAATCAAATGTGGCCCTATGGTAAATGGATTTGGACCTTTTGCTCCTATGGTCGACATATAATGTAGACTATAGTCATGTATTATTGTATTTGTGCCTCAATGACAAATTAAATAAAAATACATAATGTAATGTACTGTCCAGTAGATTAAATGACATAAAAAACATAATCTGATCCATTGCTGCTTTTGTTTTAATCTATACTCATGGATAAATATATATATATATATATATATATATATATATATATATAATCAAATGTATTATTTGATATCAATGTGAAATGTACAATTTCCACAGCCTTTGACCCTAATGTGTGTATTCTTCCCTATGAGCCAGCCCAGTAGTTCCTAATACTTCCTCTTTTAAAGACATGCTCCGGTACTTTGGAAACAGAACATTTTTATTAAACCTCTCGCTTTGGGCTGTATGTGTCAATGTGTGTTTCATACATGCATAACCTATGAGCAGAATTACTGTCTTAGCCACGAAATCCCTAGTTTGAAAGTGATTGTTTTTCTTGAAGCTATGCGGCGCCATTTTCCCTACATTTCCCTCACGTGGGCCACCCCCGTAGCAATTTGAGTTCTAGCCAATGAACTTCAGCCCCTCGTATTTGAGTGACGGCTAGCAAGAGGCCTGCCCGGCATTATCCAATGAGGTTGCAGGGTGGGCCCAACTGCTCAGTGGACACAGCAGAGAAAGAGAGAGCGACCAATGGTGTGGTGCACATATGTGATGTTGTATGCAATATTTGGGGACCACTTTTGGCTCGTGAGTGCTACTTTCAGAACTACTGGCTAAAAAGTATACAAAAGTACCAGATAATCTCTTAATGTCAGTGAAATGGTGCTTACAAGAGGTCTTAGATGTTTCACGTTTTATTTGTCACTGCACAAGTACAGTGAAATGCTTAACTAAGTTGTGACCTTCCAAACGAAGTACTTTTTTGATACTGTGAGTCCCCTTGTTTGAGATGTCCTTTACTGGCATTCACACAGATCTGCTCACTGCACAACATTTCATTTCAAAGTGTGTAACTAACTGAGTTCATAAATGTTTTATTTGTGGATTGAATGGGGATAGTTCCTCTTACATAAAGTGCCTTTTTAGGATATTGAAATAGATTTAAAATGGGTTGATGAAGTTTAGTTAAACCGCTTCACTGCGTTGCCTTAATTCATTATACAGACAGGTGTATGTTAATATATATGTATTAGCTGAAGGTTATTGTGCCTGGAAAAAGGATGTAATTCGGTTTCAATTTGATGTTTGCACATGCAAATGTTAAAGCACTTGATTATTCTGAATGCTGTAAGTGAAAGTGTGGTTTGTTCCTTATCACTTTGGAGTTCAAACAGGCTATGAATAAAGGATTCACAAATGTATTTTATTTTATTTATTTTTACATCTGGGGACCTAACACCATTTCTCTACATACTGTACACAAATGGAATTAATGTAACAGTTAGTCACCATTTTAACACAAGGAAATAAACTACAGCTTTCACAACCCTTTCTGCACATATTATTTATTTTTAACTGTATGATTTCAAACTAAGGAATGTTTAAGCAGTAACGTTGGGTGCTTGAAAAATATATATGCCCCTTTATGATAGTGGTAGCCATTTTAATAGTTCATTTGATATTCAAAACGGAGTAATTTAATTCAAACAAACATATGCACACCAATTGATTTCAAGTGTATCAAATTAAGGAAATGGGAAATGTAAATTCACTACATACTACACTAGTCACCATACTGTGCAACAGTATCACTTGCTGGTGGTAGCCTGGAAACAGCATCAATTATGGATGGATGGTTCTGTGGCACATATCTAATTGCAACTTGGCGCAGCTGTAGACTGGTTGGACTAGTTAGCCATTGTTCCCTCTCTGGCAAGGCCTGGGTAACCTATTGGTTGTTACCCAGAGTCCTCCCTTCACCAAGAAGAAGGCTGGGAAGAAACATAAGCAATGGCATCAGTTCTGTAATATGTGCATTATTACTACTGAAGGGAAGATGATGTCTGGATCAGAGAGATTGGAAAAGATGTTGTGCTGAAGGCCTACCTGTACTCAGGATACAAGCCAATGATAGAATAAGGGACAAATAATACAGCTCAGGAGTTGTTTTCGCCTGCGAATGCAGAAATATTCAAATGCTTTATGCATAATTTCCTTTGGAGCATTAAAACCTCTTGACCATACCATAATGCCAATAATTGTATTAGTAGTCAAAGATGTCACATCCCTGTGTAAGGCTATTGAACAATTGTGATCATCTCAAATGCTACTTACACACTGTTGTGCAGTCAGAGTCAAGGCGATGGTGCACAGTCCCTGGCCAAAAGATACAAGTCCAAAACCATGGTAGGCTGCCCTGAAGCACTGGGGCACTGGGTCTATCAGTGTGAATGTTACTGCAAAACCTAGTCAGGAGGCAGAATTTCATCCGTCAAACAGGCCAATTACCTGTGTCTCTTACCATTTGTAGATGTGTGATCAGTGGTTTCCAATAACTAAAATGTGTATACATACTTCATAAATACATTTAGATTGTTGCAATGAATGCAATATCCCAATCTGATTAAATTATGAGGAAGATGGGAATGAATAAAGCTGATCTCTACTGCCATCTCTCTTTCATCATAATCAAATCAACTTCTTATGATCTTGGCTAAAATAACATGATCAAACATTGTTTTTGACAAAAGTCAAACAATCGTGAGGAGCACACCCCATTAAAACTATTAGAAATAGTTGCCAAGATATGTTTACAAAACAGGATGTACTCCCTCTATACTATGACTAGATGTTCTATAGCCTACCTGTAGCCATGAAGGACAAGACAATGAAGGCAGTGAGATTGTTCAGAAGAGGCTGCTGGCAGTATCTAGAGGATTTGGGCCTGAAGGATTTAAACTCTCAATCAGAAACCTAACATAGTACTACACATGTAACATGCAGTCAAAATGAATTCAAATGTAAAGATTTTAGTAGCAAAATATTGACATATTGTATAGTTTGCATTTACTTACCTGGTTAGCACATACAATTGAGGGATGAGAACTAGTGCCACAAAGATTGCATTAATTATTTGACTGAAAATAAAACGTTTATAACACTGGAGTTAGATTCATGCTCTTTTAGAATAAGGCACCAATAGAAAACATAAATCAAGGGTTTGTTATCAGTTAGGCTGTTTTGTACACATTATCAGCTAAAAGCTGAATTGCAGTATACAGACAAAAAAAAGAAGACAAAATTAGATCAAATATATATAGAGTGAAGTCTTGACAGCTTCAGATGGTGCATTTAATAGTAAAACATCAAATCATTTTTGACAACACGAAAAGTAATCAATAAAAGTAGAATGCATTCAAATAACTAGTTTTCATTATCATAGACATGCAGTAGAAATTAGACCCAGACCCAATCTATATGGCTCTGTGACTAGACCTTTACATCTCAAAAACTTACAATTTTAACCTTTGATCCCTTGGAAGCCATCTGCTGGTATGATATGCCATGTTTACTAAGGCGTAATGTAGCATTGTCAGCATAGATTTTGAAGAAACTCTGCCAAAGGAGTGAGAGGTGATGGGCTTTGATAACACATCCTTTCCAGTTCTAACTACTGTGAAATGAATCCCCCAGCCTCGCGTTGCATCATACCCTGGGGTGTCCATGCGTGGCCTTCACTGGCCTATAGGGATCAGATTTCCTCACATGAACACTATGTTAAAATGTAAAACCCATCCTAAATGTTATACTTGGACGAGACCGCTGAACAACTGTAGGTCCGCACAGAAAACTGCAAATAATAGGCTACAGTAGGCCTATTTTTAAGTGCGCTCTGGGGTTATAAAGTTGTCTTTGATTGCGCGTGCGCTCTAACGACCTTGAATGAAACTGCATATAATTCTAATTTATAGTGACCCTTTACATTGTTGGAAAGAGAGCGACTAAAGAATGCGCACATACGGTTGATGCGTTACAGCCTATTCTATTTGCTGGCGCTTATCTCAAATGTTATTTCGTCATATAATTGTGCAAAAAGTCATGTTCCGCCCTCCACTGGGCTACTCTCTCCACTCTATTGTCCAAAATAGCAACCAACTACGAAAGATAACCCCTGCCCTATATTAACACACCATGGGACAACACATCCCAGAGACTTTAAATCTGCTCATTTAACAACTGCTTTCAACTGAAGTTTTGACAGTGCCACACGAGGATCCACCATGCCTACCGACTACAGTGGCACATGGGACATGACTAGTAATGAAAACTTAGAAGGTTACATGGTTGCGCTTGGTAAGTTCTCTTTTTACTTGGTTATTGCAGCAAACATTTTCTCATGTTTTTAGGCAAGTGACTTTGATTACAATAATATTGCCTATTTCTTGATTAATAATTAGCTGTTGGTAATTATATCATGAATTAACTGTTGGTAATTCATTCATGCATAATGACATTAGGCAGTGTGCAGTTTCATTCAACTGAAATGAATTTTCTTTGATTCATTCACTTTGATTCATTTATTAGATCAATTTTCAAACCCATAACATTTCATAATTCTAATTTCACTTTTCTGTCAATAATTCAAAACACATTTTTACTGTTGCAGATAAGAAAACGTATGTGATTCATATTGTCTGGAACTCTATGATTGCTTTTTTAGGTTGATAGATTATAATTTTTTTAAGGAAGGGGGCACATGGGGGAACCAATGTCAGAGTTACTTCAGATGTCAATACCTTCTATTTTCATCAGTAGTTATGAATTATTAGCCTGGCAGTCTTTTTAGCTAACATTCCACTCTTTGCCACTCATTTGACAAATAACAGAAGTGGCAAAGAGTGGAATGTAATAGCTGAACAGAGATGGCAACCAGGCTAATGAATGATAACTCCATACAGTATGAATGACACCTTCTTTTGAAAGACATTCTGAAGAATTCAAATTTGTAAAAAGCCTTGTCTTTGGAGTTAGGATTCTTACCATCGCTCACCAGTAGCCTACTGAGAATGGATTGGAATGTTCAGTCTCTTTGAATGTATTTGTATCACATGCAGAATTTCTTAACCTACAGGCATTGATTTTGCAACGCGCAAGATTGCAAACATGTTGAAACCTCAGAAAGTGATTGAACAAGACGGTGATTCTTTCACCATCAAGACACTCACTACCTTCAAAAACTACACGGTCTCATTCAAGATTGGGGAAGAGTTTGAGGAGGTGACCAAAGCCATGGATAACAGAAAAGTCCAGGTAAAAACGTGTAATTTTATCATTTATGTCATGATTATCATGATGAATAGAAAAACATTTTATGTTGCTCCTTGTTGCTTATTGAACTGTGGGCTTTATTAGGGCAATATGTAACAGAGCTGTCCATGTGCTTATTTCAAGCCAGCTGCAGCTACTTCCCAGATGTTTGAAAGTTCTGGTCTACACTACACATTATGATAAATGCTCTGTTTTATAACAGACGGTGGTCAACTGGGACCATGATAAACTAGTGTGTGTTCAGAAGGGAGAGAAGAAGAACAGAGGGTGGACGCACTGGATAGAAGGAGATGAACTCTATCTGGTATGTAGCATGTACTCATATCTACCTTTTAACTACATTGGTGACATTGGCAAAGCATTATTAGGCATAACTGTTATGCATTGTTTCTCTCTCTTATAGGAAATCACCTGTGAGGATAAAGTCTGCAAGCAAATTTATAAAAAGAGTGCTTGATCATGCTTTCACCATGAAGTTTGCATAATATTTCTGCAACCTTATATTTGTTAAATATGCTTCAATCATAAATATATCACTAATATGATATGTTAATGGAACACATGCTTTGAGTAGCCAAAGAATTTGAAGAAAAATAGTCAACATTTTAACAACATTAATAGAAATAGCAATGGTAATCATATGCTTGATGTGCATCGAGGATTTGTATGTCCATTGTTATTTTTGAGTGACTTCCATGATTATCTACAATAAATTTGATTTACCAACTACCATGAATAAACCACTGGACCATAATTCTAATTTATTGTATCGTGTTGTAATACCCCAACCCAGCAGGTGGTGCTGTAGGCCTATTGGTTTGATTGAATGACACCATCCAACTTTTCAAGTTTACTGCAATTAGATTTCTCATGAAGATGGTTCCATATTAACAAGCCCATTACTCTAGAAACTATTGTACATATTGTATCGTTTTCTGTTTTAAATATAATCTGGTGAAGAAGTGTATTCCTCTAGTAAACCTGTGTGGTAGCCGCTATGTATGCTATCCACTAACGTTACTAGCTAGCTGCCTAACATGACTGTGTCAGCAGAAAATGTCAACAACAATGGACGAGAAGGAAAGAACTTCAAGGGATCAAGTTTAGTGCATTGGGCATTGGGGGTCGTCTGTATAACTGGATCATGGACTTCCTGTTCGATCGAGTCATACGGGTGAGGGTGGGGTCAGAATTGTCAATGGGATTTGAAGTGAACAATGGCACTCCTCAGGAAAGTGTGGTTAGTCCGGTGTTGTTCACCCTGATGATATATGACATATTTAAGGAGGTGGGACAGGGAGTGGGTGTGGCCTTGTATGCCAATGATGGGGCTGTATGGAAGAGAGGTGGGAATGTGAAATATGTGATGAGGAAGATGCAAGAAGCTGTGGGAGTTGTGGAAGATTGGCCTTTAACATGGGGGTTTAGGATGTCTGTGGCCAAGTCCTGCTTTATGGTGTATTCTAGGAGGAAGGTTAAAGATGTTAGGCTGCACATATACGGTCAGGATATAGGTAGGGTGTCTGAGTTTAAGTATTTATGTGGTTTGATGAGAGGCTTAAGTGGAAGAGGCATGTTGAGCATATTGAAATTAAGTGTAGGAAGGAGCTGAACCTCATGAGGGCAGTGACAGGATATGATTGGGTGTCGGATAGACAAACACTGTTGCATATGTACCAGCCATTGATCAGGTCATCTTTGGATTATGGGTGCTTTGTATATGGACTGGCAGCCAGAACGGTACTACAGCGCCTGGATAGGATACAGTCAAGGGCCCTGATATTGTGTGTGGGTGCCTTCAGGACGACACCTTGTTGAGGCATTGCAGGTGATTAGTGGGGAACTTCCACTGAGGAGAAGGCGGGACAAACTTGCATTAGCGTAATAGGCGAAGTTGAAAGGGAGTTCAAAGGGACACCCTGCGGTCATGGCAACTGGGGAATGCTGGGAGCGAGGAGTGGGTAAGCAGAGGGCGTACGGGTGGACAATCAGGCAGAAGGTGGTAGAATATGGACTGGAGAGAGAGATAGGGCCGGCAATTGCATTGGGGAACGTTCCTCCGTGGCTGTTTCCGAAACCAAGTGTAGATGTGGACATGATTGAGGGTAGGAGAGAATGGGGTGAGGTCGTGAGACGGTGTGTGGAGAGATATATAGATAATCGGTTTTATTCGTTTTATAGGATATATACAGATGGTTCAAAAGATCCAGTCAGTGGTAGGGTGGGGGCAGGGGTGTATATCCAAATTTTTTATGTTAGAGTATATACGTGGTTAACTGATTATGTGTCAGTGTATGCGGCCAAGTTGATGGCCATGATTCTAAGTTTGAGATGGGTGGAGGAGGTGAAACTACAGAATGTTGATCTGCTCTGATTCGGCTGCAGTGTTGAGTAGTGTGAAGACGGGCAGGTCGGATAGGGGAGACTTGTTTGTGGAGTTGATGGGAGTGGTGGTAAGCTTCCCGCCCATGTGGGTGTGGAGGGTAATGAGAAGGCCGATGTGGTGTGAGTGCTGTGAGGATAGAGCGGGTAGATATTTTGGTCCCGCTGGGCTGCAGGGAAGTCAAGTCCTTAACCCGGGCAAAAGGGCTCGATCTTTGGCAAAGAGAGTGGGATGCTAATACTAAGGGGAGGCAATTTTATCGCATGCACCGGTCAGTAAAGGAAGAAGTGGGGAGTTTGCGATGTAGGGGTGAGGAAGTTGTGTGGAGTATGAAAAATGTATGCAATCACTAACTGAAAGTCGCTCTGGATAAGAGCGTCTGCTAAATGACATAAATGAAAAATGGAGTAGACTACGGTTTGGGCACACAGGTTTGAATGCCACATTGTGGATGATATGGAGAGATGAAACAGGTCTGTGTGATGAGTGTTTAGTGGAGGAAACGTAGCATGTGTTGATATTTTGTGAATTATATGACGTAGATAGGGAGAGATTGTGTGAAAGGTTTAGAGAGGCTGGACAGGGTTGGGGTTTGGGTGGTGCAGTGGGGGGAGGAGAGTGGTGTCTAGGGCTTTATTTCACTTTCTTAGAGGAACACCTGGAAAAAGGAACACCTATGTGAGAATGCTGTTCATTGACTATAGCTCAGCGTTCAACACCATAGTGCCCACAAAGCTCATCACTAAGCTAAGGACCCTGGGACTAAACACCTCCCTCTGCAACTGGATCCTGGACTTCCTGACGGGCCGTCCACAGGTGGTAAGGGTGGACAACAACTAATCTGCCACGCTGATCCTCAACACTTGGGCCCCTAAGGAGTGCGTGCTCAGTCCCCTTCTGTACTCCCTGTTCACCCACGACTGCCTGGCCAAGCTCGACTCCAACACCATCATTAAGTTTGCTGAAGACACAACAGTGGTAGGCCTGATCAACGATGAGACAGCCTATAGGGGAGGTCAGAGACCTGACAGTGTGGTGCCATGACAACAACCTCTCCCGCAATGTGAGCAAGACAAAGGAGCTGATCGTGGACTACAGGAAAAGGAGGGCCGAACACGCCCCCATTAACATCAACGGGGCTGGAGTGGAGTGGGTCAAGAGCTTCAAGTTCCTTGGTGTCCACATCACCAACAAACTATCATGGTCCAAACACACCAAGACAGTCGTGAAGAGGGTAAGGCAACATAATTTCCCCCTCAGGAGACTGAAAAGTTTTGGCATGGGTCCCCAGATTCTCAAAAAGTTCTACAGCTGCACCATCGAGAGCATCCTGACCGGTTGCATCACCACCTGGTATGGCAACTGCTCGGCATCCGACCGTAAGGCGCTACAGAGGGTAGTGCGTACGGCCTAGTACAGTGAGGGAAAAATGTATTTGATCCCCTGCTGATTTTGTACGTTTGCCTACTGACAAAGACATGATCAGTCTATAATTTTAATGGTAGGTTTATTTGAACAGTGAGAGACAGAATAACAACAACAAAATCCAGAAAAACGCATGTCAGAAATGTTATAAATTGATTTGCATTTTAATGAGGGAAATAAGTATTTGACCCCTCTGCAAAACATGACTTAGTACGTGGTGGCTAAACCCTTGTTGGCAATCACAGAGGTCAGACGTTTCTTGTAGTTGGCCACCAGGTTTGCACACATCTCAGGAGGGATTTTGTCCCACTCCTCTTTGCAGATCTTCTCCAAGTCATTAAGGTTTCGAGGCTGACGTTTGGCAACTCGAACCTTCAGCTCCCTCCACAAATTTTCTATGGGATTAAGGTCTGGAGACTGGCTAGGCCACTCCAGGACCGTAATGTGCTTCTTCTTGAGCCACTCCTTTGTTGCCTTGGCCGTGTGTTCTGGGTCATTGTCATGCTGGAATACCCATCCACGACCCATTTTCAATGCCCTGGCTGAGGGAAGGAGGTTCTCACCCCAGATTTGATGGTACATGGCCCCGTCCATCGTCCCTTTGATGCGGTGAAGTTGTCCTGTCCCCTTAGCAGAAAAACACCCCCAAAGCATAATGTTTCCACCTCCATGTTTGACGGTGGGGATGGTGTTCTTGGGGTCATAGGCAGCATTCCTCCTCCTCCAAACACGGTAAGTTGAGTTGGTGCCAAAGAGCTCGATTTTGGTCTCATCTGACCACAACACTTTCACCCAGTTCTCCTCTGCATTATTCAGATGTTCACTTCAGACGGGCCTGTATATGTGCTTTCTTGAGCAGGGGGACCTTGCGGGCGCTGCAGGATTTCAGCTGCCTTGAGATCATTGACAAGATCCTCCTGTGTAGTTCTGGGCTGATTCCTCACCATTCTCATGATCATTGCAACTCCACAAGGTGAGATCTTGCATGGAGCCCCAGGTCAAGGGAGATTGACAGTTCTTTTGTGTTTCTTCCATTTGCGAATAATCGCACCAACTGTTGTCACCTTCTCACCAAGCTGCTTGGTGATGGTCTTGTAGCCCATTCCAGCCTTGTGTAGGTCTACAATCTTGTCCCTGACATCCTTGGAGAGCTCTTTGGTCTTGGCCATGGTGGAGAGTTTGGAATCTGATTGATTGATTGCTTCTGTGGACAGGTGTCTTTTATACAGGCAACAAACTGAGATTAGGAGCACTCCCTTTAAGAGTTTGCTCCTAATCTCAGCTCGTTACCTGTATAAAAGAAACCTGGGAGCCAGAAATCTTTCTGATTGAGGGGGTCAAATACTTATTTCCCTCATTAAAATGCAAATCAATTTATAACATTTTTGACATGCGTTTTTCTGTAATGTGTTGCGGGGGGTTCAATTGTAGGCATGCCAAGAAAAGCACAGTATCTGTGGAGGATGTGAAGTTTACGGCTCGCCAGATTACAGCAATGGTGGGTATTGGCTCATAATTTACAACGTCATAACTAATAAATGCCAACATCACAGGACTGATGAACAGTCCTTTCTTAAAGATGTATTGTTTTATGAAAACGATACACAAACCCAATCTTGGCATTACTGAATGTTTTTATGGTACCAGTTACAGCTGCACCCTCACAAGGGATCATTTGACAGAAACATAAGTATTTGCAATGATACTGTTGTTAATGTTTGACATAAACGTATTCCCCTTTCTAGTGTTTCTTCACAGAAGAGTGAAGAGATTGCCAGCACAAACCAGCAGAGACATAAGGAAGAAGAATGCAGGGAAGAAGAAGAACAAGGATACAGAGGCTACGGAGTAGGAAGGAACAACATGCTAGAGCTAGAAGGCTACCCTAGTACTAAGTGAATATGTTATATTATGCAGACACTACTAGGTAATAGCATGTGTACATTTAATAATATTTCACATTAAAGGGCATCAACTGGCTCAACCAACTTGTAGAAAATATTTATTAATAACTCATAATTATCATCCATCAAGTGGTACAGTGAGAGTATATTCATCGTCTGAAATTTAAGAGCACGGTTCCAACTTCATCTCCACAAACGCTTAGATCTATACTTTGGTTTATCCGGTGCTTAATTTCAGCATTCTGTAATATCCTTATGTACACTATTTCCCAGTGTGCACGTCTGAAATACCATAACCTGTTAATTATTTGTCTTATGTCCCAAAGAATACATTTGAGACATAATAAAAGACTCTTCTTCCCAAATAATGCATCCACATTTATTTTAAATGAAGCCCATTGAACAAAAAAAAGAACATTGGTCATGTCTGACAGAATAGATCATAAATGTATCCAAACTTACTACCCAATTCTGACTCCTTTTAGGTTGGCATAAATATAAGGCCCCATTTCAAGCCTGTGAGGACTTCTGTCTTCATCCTTCAGGACACTGACTCCAGTCTGGGTTCAGATGGAAACCTCGGTCAGCAGTGTCCAAGGTCCCTAGATATGTGAATTAAATTAGATTTGACAATTCAAATGACACAAAGGTAACCAGTATTCAAATAAACATCTATTCAAATGTTTTATTAGAGAACTCCCTTCATTTGACATGTCTAAAACACCTTTGAAAACACACTGGGAAATATTTGACAACCACACCACTCCACGTTCTCACACCAACACTCACGTCCCCAGTGTCCTCAGCAGGCGTCATCCACATCAAAGTTCACACTTAGAGAGCACCAATAACAAGAAAAGAAACCACACACACCATACAGCATTCAGGTCATGTAGGTTATATAAACAAGACATATATTCAGCACAACATTCCACACGACATTTGGGTACTACATCTGCACTTGATCAATATACTACTTGATCAATATACTAAAAGGAGGGTAGGACAAATTGCAGATAGAGATCTTGAAGTACTATTAAATGAAAGTCCATTTAGGGGGGAGGAGCTTGTAGCATCTGCAGATCCCATTCACACTCACAACAGCAGTCAAATTGGGCTCTTTCATCGCACAACCAGTCCGTTTCACGCTTTCTTTTTCTCTCTCCGTTCGCTCACTCATCGATTCACTCTTCGCCACAAGCCATCCTCAATCGCACTCACGAGTTCTTAAAATGTCAGTTGCGCAGTTCTTTCCATTAAACAGTGGATAAAAATTAAAACACCCACCGTCTCTTAGAACATGCGGAGTGAAGCCGTTCTTTGATGGCAAAGCATTTACAGATGGAAGAGTGATACTGACATCACCCAAAGAATGCTGCCAAAGAGAAGCTTCTTCCCGGGAAAATGGAAGAGAGGTGAACTGCAGAAGAGATTGTAGTGAAGGCTTTTCCATTGAACTTGAGACAGCAAATAAAGTCGCACTTAAAACATTTAAGTTTCAACCAGATTCTTTCCAATGCAAGATTGTTGTCAAATATATGGATGGATAGTGAACCAGTGATTTCTCATGCATTCAGAAACATCACAACTCACAATGCATGCATCAAAGAATCCAGTTGAAAATAAGTCAGGATATAACAAACTTAAGAACAAATCAATTTGACATCAAAAGTAGCACTTAAGCTGAATACCCTGGTAAACAATAATTCACTTCAAACACTTTCTAAATTAAATTTTCAAATGTACAAAACATCTTTCACAAAAGCGTTTAAGTATCAGACACGCATAACACCAGAAATACATTTGGGGAAAGACGTCTCACAATACTTACCATCAAACTATTACTTACATACCCCACCCGGAAGACTTGGACTCCATACTGGAGCCAAATCCTGAGCTAAACCCACTACCACTGGTTGTTGCGTTAGAACCGGTACCCCAACCTAGACTGGCTGAGCTGGTGCCGTAGTTACTGTTGCCTGTGCTGTAGGCCTGGCTTTGATCCCTGGTGGAGCTAGTCTGCCCAGTGGAGGTGGTGCCAGAGGTGGCAGTCTGCCCTTGCTGACTAGCCAACATACCCATCATTCCCCAACTGCTCTGTAGGGCAGCCTGAGCGGCAGCCATCATAGCAGGGTTCAGACTAAAGTTGCCAAAATTAGCCATATTACTACTGGCGCTGCTCCCTAACCCTGTGCGGTTACTACCAAAGCCCTGAGCCCCAAACCCGTTTCCAAACCGCCCTGCTCGCTCCATCATCTGCCTACTGCCGTGCTTTGGCTCAGCATTTGAGATGTGCACGCTGACCCCCTTAATAATCAGGTCCTCTCCACATAGGGAACTGGCAACCTGGAGAGAAAACATGCGGGTCAGTCTGACATTAAAAGGGACAATTCAGCAGATAGGAAATAGAACAAGGTCTTTGAATTTGCGGTGGCACCTACCTGGTCATCGGCAAAGCTGACGAAGGCAAAGGCACGGAAGGGCTTGGGGATGAAGACGTCAGTGACCTCGCCATACTGCATGAAGAACTGGCGCAGCTCATCAGCGGACATGTCTTCAGTGCAACGGCCTACAAACACTTTTCGGCTTCTCATGGGCTCATCTGGACCTTGCTGTTTTACAAAAAATGTTAAAAGGTTCACACATCAACAATATACACCGAGTATACCAAACATTAGGAACACCTTCCTATTATTGAGTTGCACCCCCCCACCCCCCTCTGCCCTCAGAACAGCCTCAATTCGTCGGGGCATGGACTCTACAAGGTTCCGAAAGCATTCCACAGGGATGCTGGCCCATGCTTCCCACAGTTGTGTCAAGTTGGCTGGATGTCCTTTGGGTGGACCATTCATGACACACACGGGAAACTGTTGCTCATGAAAACCCAGCAGTGTTGCAGTTCTTGACAAACCGGTGCGCCTGGCACCTACTATCATACCCTGTTCAAAGGTACTTCAATATTTTGTCTTGCTCATTCACCCTCTGAATGGCACACATACACAATCCATGTCAAGGCTTAAAAATCCTTATTTAACCTGTCTCCTCCCCTTCATCTACAATGACTGAAGTGGATTTAACAAGTGACATCAATAAGGGATCATAGCTTTCACCTGGATTCACCTGGTTAGTCTGTCATGGAAAGAGCAGGTGTTCCTAATGTTTGTATACTCAGTGTATATGGCTTGGGGGAAGATATGAGGCGGGAGGGGTGGTGACAAGTGTGGTCTGAAACAAGTGCTCTTGCCATTAATAATCCACGTTACACGCCATACTGAAACAAACACCTACCTTGGAGTTAGGAAGTTTGCAGTCACACCATCTTCCATCAATCATGTGGCGTTGAGAGATCACTTTGTCTTGAGTCTCATACTCAGTAAACCTCACAAACCCAAATCCCTTTGAGTTTCCAGTCTTCACATCTCGTTTCACCTGTGAAGAGGAGCATGGAGTGAAGGCACCACAGACATACCAAGGCATTGCACACTAAAGAGGAACTGACACAGATTTAATGGGAAAGCGGCTGTGCGTTTATATATAAACACCACGGCAGTCTTACTTTCGGAAACTTTACATTGATAAAAAAACAACAACAGGTAGGCTCTCTCTCCCTCAGTTGCTGACGCACAACAGAACGATGTTAGCCAGAGCCAGATGAGCCAAAATCTAGCACAGGGGACAGTAGATAACTTTTTCAGTCAAAATTGCACCGTGAATACGATGAGGAATAGTAGGCTACCCTGCGCGGCCTGCCCCCAGTCCCATAATAACCCACGTTTTAACAAGTGGATGGATTTACAGCTTGCCTGCCTGCTCAGTGCTAATTTGATCGATGTCAAATACATTTTCATTGACAACTAAGAGATATGCTAACAGTCGTTCAAGTTTTAGTAAATGAGTAGCTATCTTAAACTAATTAGTGAATCACATGTCTTAGTAGCTAACCAAGTGACACTGCAATCCCAATAGATGTAGCCACCGAAGCTGAAAAAAAAATTAACTTGAGGGAAAGGTCTGCCACTCACCCACTTCCAACAGCTAGCTAGCAAACAGTACAAGCTAAGATTATTTTATAACTAACCCAAGAGACCACAGCCTGTCATTTCCAATGGAAACAAATGTGTCAGTGGGGGGCAGAGCCAAGCACGAGCTAGCGAGATCCTATTGGCGCGTTCTAGCATGTATCTGCATATTTCCATTAGGGAATGCATTCTCTGTGACGTGCGCATGTGCAATAACTCAAGTCACCCTTGCACTCCTTCTAAACAACGCATTTTTTTTTTTACTTTGGCAAAGGTTAAAATCTACAAAACTGAGTCCACTCTTAGCAACATATTCTAGTTTTGGGAACAGAAAACTGTATTGAGATCAAATGTTTCATCGATGGCCAAAATCCATCTCGCTCCATCTCCTCCCACTGGGCTTCCTCTCATTACCATATTTGCTAGTGAGTAGAAACGCCTACTGGATGCTTCACACTGAAATATCTGGCTCATTGTTCTGTGGTACTAGGCTCCATGTCATTAGGTTCTAGCTAGCTAGAAAAATGACTATCAAGTCATATTGCTAGCTTGCTAAATAAGTAGGCCTACATAAATAGATAAGCTATAGCCTTAGCAACATACTGCATATGATTGTGTTCAGACTACCAATTACTGCCCTTTTCATCCGTTTTCGTCAAAAATATTGGGTGAATGAAACGGAAACAGTTCATCCCCTGAATGACTGGGGGCATCAAACAACATACTAGCTGTGATTTACAACCTGATTTACAACCCAACTACCTAGCAATTAATTGGTGAATTTTATGAATCATTCATTGGCTGCATCCATTTATTCTGCAAACAAAACCTTACTCTACGCAATGGAATGTTGAGTGAAATATAACCGATTTCTTAAACCTCTTAAAAAGTTAGTTTTGAAGCATAAACTGAAATTGACATTTTTGACCGATAGGATTATCTATGTTTTATTTTTACAAAATAGTTAAGTGTCAGTTCCACTTTAAATCTGGGAGAACAATAATAGTGAAGGTACCTAAAAACAGCACACATCTGCAAAGAATGAAATCGCAAATTTGAGACTACCTGCACCATGATGACTTCCCCAAAGGTGCTGAAGTAATCTTTCAGGTCCTGTTCAGATGTCTTCCATGGCAACCCCAGTACAATCAGATCAGATGTCTTCATGTCCCCTCTCTTCATCTTCACAGCAGAGGCGGCATCAATCTCGTCCATTTTCCTTTTGTTGTCTGCAATAGTGTGGTAGGGAACACTTCAGACTGACATTTGCCTAGTTAGATACTCATTCCACATGATGTATATAGGGAACATTTCTATCTTTTTTGTATTTTACCCCCTTTTTCTCCCAATTATGATCTTGTCTCATTACTGCAACTCCCCAACGGCTCGGGAGAGGCGAATGTCGAGTCATGCGTCCTCCGATACATGATCCGCGCTCCTTAACACACGCCCGCTTAAACCGGAAGCCAGCTGCACCAATGTGTTTGAGGAAACACTGTTCAACTGACCACCGAAGTCAGCCTGCAGGCGCCCGGCCGGCCACAAGGAGTCGCTAAAGCACGATGAGCCAAGTAAAGCCCCCCACAGCCAAACCCTTCCCTTACACGGAGGACGCTGGGCCAATTGTGCGCCACCCTATGGGACTCCCGGTCACGGCCGGTTGTGACACAGCCTGGGATCAAACCCGGGACTGTAGTGACGCCTCAAGCACTGCGATGAAGTGCCTTAGACCGCTGCGCCACTCGGGAAACCTTTCAATGTTTAATAATTAATGGAGTATGTAAACATTATTATACAATTGTCCACTAGTTGGTGACTAATAAAAACAAACATGTAATAGCTTAGTCAACATACCTTTGGGATAATTGACGACATAGACCAGATTGCCCCAGCCGTTCTCAGGCGCATGAAGAATCCCTTCCACCAACCGGACCCCTCTCATGCACTGTGAAACAGGACTCCTGAATCGTAGGCCGCAGGCCCCTGGAAACTGAGCTGCCACGGTAGAAAGCAACACAGTGCCATCATCCTCAGAAGGGATCTCCATGGGCTCCTCATTCTCTTCTTCGGCCACACGAATGTACAACTCCGCCATTTTTTACCTACAATAACGCCGTTTCTCAGTCAAAAACACTGCGCTGGCTATGTCAAGTTAGCTCGCTAACCACACAAGTTGATCAATACAAAAATAGTCCCGAAAAAACACCACGGTTTTGCAAAAAAAATATCAGTTCAGATGTTAAAATGAACGCTACTTAAGTTGATTAAAGGAAATTGTATTTAAACGACTTCGCTAGCTAGAGCTCGTGAGATATTCACGCAAACGAAGCTGCCTCGGTCCCACTCCCAGTGTTCCTTTGTTAGGTTAGCTAGCTGGCTGTGTCATCGACCTAGCTTTAGCAATGTGGCTTTGAACGAGCTAACGGCGTCTCGTGCCTTGTTGGTCCTAAAAGCTGAAATTTCGTCCAAGAAATTTGAAATTAAGCAATAATTTAATTAACGTTAAGTCTTAACTAAGTTTTTCTAAACTAGCATACACGTAATACTGCGCATTTAAAGCAAATAGTCACGCTCAAACACACCTGCGACAAAAATAAACACGCTATTCTTTCCGATTAAAATGGCATTAACATGGAGGAAGTTCGTCATTTTCTCGGATCATCTCATTGTAAAAGGAGGGGGGGGGTGTTGTGCATCTAGGAAATAACAGAAACTGATAAATAATTATTTCCAGGCAAATGTTGCACCATTTTTACTGTGATCACGTAAAACGTATTTGTGTAAAAAAAATTAGACTTGTGTAAATGATAACCACGGAGATGCATGGTCGATCACTACTACGGCGTCCCCCCTATGTAAAGATTGGATAAACCCAGTTTTTCATGTGACACTGGGACTGGGGGACATCACGCGGTCGACTCGAACGCATCCAACATTCAAGATATGAACTCCAGGCTGCTGCCCATCTCTCCATGTTGTTAGCCAGAAACGTCTTCATTCCTTCCTTAAAATTCAAAAATACAGTCATGGGAAGCACAAATAAAATATCACAAATCAACCAGAAAAACAGTTACATTCCTCCACAAATAAGTCCCCAATCAATACTTTAAATTGCTTTAACATCACAAGAACATCAAGATTAAACTTTGAATTTTGTTCCAGCAATACAGGGCATTAAACCTAAAAGCAGATTCACCTAGCTTGGTGGAGACCCTAGGAACCTCAAGAGTTAACCAATCCTGTGAACGGGTTAGGCAACTCGGGTGTCTATACTTCAACAGCAAAGTTAGATACAATGGAAGTTTATGAAGTAGGGCCTTGTAAACAAAAATTGAGTAATGTAGAGATCTACGGGTCTTTAGCAAAGTCCAGCAAACCTTTTGATACAGGATGCAGTGATGAGTATCCAAACTGTCGCCTGTAACAAAACGAAGGGCACTATGGTAGATGGCATCCAAAGGTTTAAGAGTAGTAGCAGCTGCACTTTGATAAAAAGTAGCACCATAATCAAGAACAGATAAAAAGGTTGACTGAATAATCTGCTTCCTACTGCTTAGAGAAAGGCACGATCTGTTTCTGTAGAAAAAGCCAACTTTAAATCTTAGCTTCTTAACCAAGTTTCAAGTTGTAATTTTTTATGTCACATGCACACGTACAGTGAAATGCCTTTCTTGCAAACTCAAAACCCAACAATGCAATAATCAATAACAATGTAATACTAGAAAAAAAACATGAGAAATATGAAGAACACAATAAGTAAGTAAGCATACTATATACAAGGTCAGTTCCAATACCATATTTACAATGTGCAGGGATACTGGAGTGATGGAGGTAGATCATTAAACATGTCTTTTAGATTGTCTGAAGCCTGCATTTCCCAATCATAATTTAGGTCACCCAGGATAATAACTTCTGATTTAATAAAAGAAGACAAACTAGTTAACTCCTCGAGTGCACAAAGGTTAGCTGAGGAAGGATGGTAGACCCCTATAACAGTTATGGATACATTTTGCCCCAGACAAAGGCTTAAAGATAGTAGCAAATATTTTTGGGCAAGAGAAATGGATTTCAGTAAAGAGACAGAGAAATTATTTTTAATAAGAATGGCCACTACACCACCTCTACCCTGTCTGTCAGCTCTGAACACATTATAACCCTCAATATTAATATCAGAGTCCAGAATGTCCCCAGAGATCCAAGTTTCAGTCAATACCAGAATGTCCGGATTCGTCTGCATAGCCCAGATCTTGATGTAATTCAGGAAGTAAGCTCCTAATGTTCAGATGCATCAACCCAAGTACTTTACGATTTTTAAAGCCACATGGAGTCTCCAACTCAAACAGGCTATGTTCAATAGGCAGTTGCAGGCCCTGTCTGATGGTTGATATTGATATAGTTGGTATGGATATAAGATTTCATAGAACGGCACCATTTGGTCTATCCCTATTAGTAATAAAGGAAGGAGTATACATTTGAATTACTTTTCCAAGGTTAGCACCATAGGGCCTGAGGCCGCAGCCAATGTCAATATGGGGAACTCTCAGAGTAACCAATGATGGAATGTTATAAACGGACTTACATGGGCTTTGGTTGCTATCGTGAAACAGCCCAAGCCCTCTACGTGATTTGAAAACCGAGGGGGTATTCAAGTTTATGGAATTCAGATTTGAACTAAAAGCACTGGGTGAGCAGACCACAGTGGGCTTCTCTTTTAAGCTAACAATAGCAGATCTAAGAGTGGAGTTGAAACGAATGGACACAAGATTACAATTGACAACACCCCTAGCTGTCTAGACAACAGTACGACGATAGCGCTTAGAAAGGAAAGGCGGGTGAGATGGGAGGGGAGAGGTGACTTCATTAGGGAGGGGTCTCTGCAGGCCTGGCCAGGAAAGAAGTAAGGTAATGTGGTGTGGGGATTTTAACGCCCACAACACGCTTTGGGGGGGTGGGGGGGGGGGGGGGGGGGGGGGATGGGTGGACGGATGGATGAAAATGGCCAAGTGATGGAAAATTTGATAGAAAATAAAGATCTGGTGTGCCTGAATGATGGCCGAGGGACCAGGATTGATGTAGCCACAGGGAAAGAGTCGGCCTTCGACCTCACTCTGGTATCTAGTGCGATGGCAGGAATATGTGAGTGGGAGGTATTGGAGGATTCGACAGTAGGGAGTGATCATTACCCCATAGTATGCACAGTAGGCCGGAGGGAGGAGGAGGTGTCAGTGAATGGAGTAGGCAGGTGGGTGTTTGGAAGGGCAAAGTGGGATCAGTTTCAGGAGCTGAGTGAGCAGGTGATGGCTCGGGGGGATATGAGAGGGGATGTGGATAGTATGAATAACTGGGTGAGAACAGCGTTAGTGGAGGCAGCTACTGAGGCTATACCTAAGAGTTCAGGGAGGAGGAGGAGGAGGAGGAAAGCAGTCCCATGGTGGACGGAGAGATGTGGGGCAACGGTGAGGAGTAGGAACAGGGCATTTAGAGTACTGAAAAGGACGCATAACTTCCAACATCTGATTCAGTATAAGCAGGCCCAGGCCATGGTGAGGAGAACTATCCGTCAGGCAAAGAGGTCATGTTGGCATCGGTTCTGTGACACCATTGGAAGGGCGACACCTGTGGGAGAAGTATGGGGGATGATTAAGAGGATGAGTGGGGTCAGAAGAGAGTGGGATTATCCAGTGTTGACGAGTCGGGAGGATGTGGAAGTAACAGATGAGGAGAAAGCAGAGATGATGGCCAAAGCATTTGTCCAAGTGCATAGCTCCGTAAATCTGTCAGAGGAGGGGCAGAGGGGGAGAGAGAGAACGAGAGAGGAGCATCCTGGAGTGCTGGAAAGGAGGGAGGATGTAAATGATGCGTTGAATGCACCATTTACCAGGGCAGAGGTAAAAAGAGCAATAGGTAAGGCTGGGTTAACTTCACCTGGGAAAGATGAGGTGTGCTATGCTATGTTGGCCCATCTTAGTGATGAGGCACTGGACAAGGTATTGGTGTTGTACAACAGAGTGTGGGAGGAGGGGAAACTACCAGGCAGTTGGAAGGAGGCAGTAGTGGTACCAATCTGGAAGCCCGGGAAGGATCCAACGAAGCCAACAAGCTATCGGCCAATAGCTTTAACATCGCTTGTATGTAAGATTATGGAACGTATGATTACGGAGAGGCTAACTTACTTCCTGGAGAGCAGAGGGCTAGTATCGCCACATCAGAGTGGGTTCAGGAAGGGTAGGGGAACTATGGATCCAGTGCTCTGCTTAGAAGCAGAGGTCAGGAAGGCTCAGGTGAACAAGGAGACTGTTGTAGCTGTCTTTTTTGATGTGGAGAAGGTATATGATATGATGTGGAAGGAGGGGTTGTTAATCAAGCTTGATATTATGGGGGTAGGAGGAAGAACGTACAACTGGATAAAGGATTTCCTGTTTGGAAGGTCAATCCAGGTGAGGGTGGGGAAGTCTTTATCAGGCAGCTACTTGGTGGATAACGGTACACCACAGGAGAGCGTGATTAGTCCTCTGTTGTTCTCAATCATGATCAATTATGTTTACTCTCAGGTACAGCCGGGTATGGGGAGGTCATTATTTGTAGATGATGGGGCCTTATGGAAGAGGGGAAGAAATGTGCAATACACAGTCAGGAAGGTACAGGAAGCAATTGATGAGGTAGAGCGGTGGGCATTAATGTGGGGATTCAGGTTCTCTGTAGAGAAAACTCAAACAGTGTTCTTTACCAGGAGGAAGGTGGGAGATGAGGTATGCTTGAGGTTATATGGGAGAAACTTGGAGAGTGTGGGGGCTTTCAGGTTCCTTGGGGTATACTTTGACACTAGACTGACCTGTGCAGAACACATTGAGAGAGTGGTGGGAAAGTGTAAGAAGGTGCTAAATGTGATGCGCTGTCTGACGGGGAAGGAGTGGGGGGCTGGGCGTTCCTCATTGAAGACCATGTATGTTGCATTGATCCAATCTGTAATAGACTATGGCAGTATAGCATATGGTTCGGCAGCCCAGACCTCACTGGAAAGGCTAGAAGTCATACAGGGGCAAGGACTCAGAATATGTAGTGGGGCGTTTCGGACGTCCCCAGTGGCTGCATTAC